GGGACTAAAATACTTAGATATAACGTAATTTATTATTGGCTGTTCTTGATGATGTAAAGACCTGTCTTGAACCTTCAACTGATCGAACGAATTTACAAATATTTGAACATGTCAAGTAATATATATAAATAATTAAATGATATTTCCAAAAATATATTCAAACAATAGATACCTACGTATTTAGAAATCTAAATATCTTCACTAAGTAATCTGCGGCATATTGTCAAGGAGCGGTAGATATTTCTTGTCGTTTTACGGAAAATTATGTTTGAGAGAACGAAGGAGTTTCAATAAGGAGAAATTCCTCAAAACGCACAGCTAAATATTCCAGGCTCGTCCAGGTTAACTACCTAAATGCATATAATCAAATTCTGCATTCAGTTTACAACAATGGATATTTATTGTGGAATTACGTGCGCAGCTAAACGTATGCGTTCACTTGTTGCGCGCCAAAACGGCTCGTGTCAAGATGGCTGCCGTATTTTTTCACATAGCAACTTTCCGCGTTGTCTATGTTTTTGGCGACCTCCGGCATGACGTTGCGACCCAAATAGGTAGCCAACCGGTGCCACGGCCAAGTCCAGATGGGTATCCCCGATGAACCAGCGCCAATGTCTATAAAATAAATCGCGGAATACAGATAAAAAATTATGAATCGTTGACGAGTGATTTGGCGCCAAAATCTTCGGGTGAATGCTCTCCAGTTTGGCAGTAGTCGTGTTTTGGAAGTATTTCTAATAGTTTGTTTAGATCGGCTCGGCATACGTTTATAAACATTGGTTTTACTTTTAAGTCAATTTTATGACGAAATAAAATCCATAGGCTTTCGCCATTAAAATTCTGAGAGAGACCCAAAATCAAGGTGTACGAAGCAGATAATATTATATAAACTTTGATAACTTATATGTATATCATCCTTGAAACAAAATTTGTTATTATTTTAACTTTCATATTTCATAATTTAAAGTATTATTTATTTTAAAAAAATATTAGCTACAGGTATACTTACATAACATGTGTTATGTTTAAACAAAATGCTTTAGTGAGCAACTGCTCGACACACAAAGAACGCAAATTCAGTTGTAGGTATTGTCTTCATAAAATAGGAAGCAAATTTGGAACACGTGAAACCCAGTGATATCATCAGCATCAGAGTAAACTCTTTCGATCTAGCTTGCCAACAATATTACAATTCAGCATTTCTCTCATATACGCCAAATATTCGCGCCTTATCGCGAGCTTTGATAGTTTTACGACGCCATTTTGTATTTTCTATTTCGCGCGCTTTTTCGTGTCTTCAACATGGCGGTTGCGCGTTTGCTCCGGTAATTTTATTTTTAGATTATGCTCGTTTTATTTTCTTACTGTTATATACTGAACTAGTTGTATTATTTAGAACGACATTTTGGTTGACAGTGTTATTTCAACAGTTATTTGGAAATAGCTATCACAAGCGTTAATGAACCATGAGCCCATAAAAGATAGCGAAGCGAGTTGGTTGTCATAATCATAACTATACTAATTATGGAAATTATGACATGATTATTTATTATTAACTTCATAGAAGCTTGTTAGCCGCACGTGTTGTTGATAATTTAAAGCTTTATTCGGCAACATTTAAACCGCCTAAGCAATTTTATAAAATTTTCTTATAACGCTGATCCGATCTTGGTATAGATATAGCCCACCTTTTTTGTAACTCTACGCTTTGGAATCGACATAAAAAGAACGTAAGTATATATATGTGTTTAGGAAATTAAAAATAATCCTCGTTACAACATATATCCAAAAATGCAATAAAAAGTAAAAAATAAAATTATCTATGCTAGCTGTGGACTGCCCTTTTATTAACAAGTTAACTTGGTCGTAGCATGATATTCATTCTTCAATAAATGGACATTAAAAAAAACAATTTGAATCCGAAGTTCCTGAGATTGATATCTACATAGCGCGTTCAACCAAACAAACTGAGGGAAGTTTTTAAAAGGAAATAATTTTCCCCGTTTTTGCAACATTTTTTATTGATGCTCTGCTCTGAGTGATTCTATAGCCCATCTGAAACGGTTCAGTAGTAAAGTTAATTTCTTACAAACAATTAAATCCCTCCTCTTTTTCATATCAATGTAGTTTTTATTAACTATTTTTAGAAGGATAGATGGGATTAAGCGATGGAAAAGATATTTATGTTCTGGTATTTTTATGTATTGTATAATTTAAACTATATATTACTTTTTGTTTGATGGCATAAATTGCAATAAAAAAATTTGTTTATTTTTATAAGACTCCTACTTTAAAAATAATCTGACACCAGCATATTTCTAACTGGTTAGAAATGTATTAAAATAAATCTTCTGACCCTAATTGATGTAAATTCACCTTTTAATTATAAATATACTAAGGGTTCTTTGAATTAAAAAAAAAACAAAAACGTATATCGTCCTTGTAGTGAACTAGACCTTCGTAGTATCTCAATAGGCTTAATTTCATTCTCAGTAGTAAATTGGCAGGTTTTTTGTGTATTTCTGCCAGGAATGCGCCACGTGGCGGTAGGGTCCTGCCAAGGTGGTTTGCCAGAGTACTCAGCGTCTGTGGTGTAAGCCAAGATAATGTTTTGACTGGAGTGTGGAGAATGACCTGCTTTTGCTCATAATTGGGAATATAAAGCTTTATTTTTTTTAATAAAAGTCAAGTAGAGTGTTTGAGTAGATTTTTACGATAATCTACTGTCTTAATCTCATTGGTTAGGAGGAATGGAAAATTATTTATTAGTTGGTCAATAATTTTTCGTTGATATTTAATTATCATATTATTTTTATTATTACTATGTAGTTTAAGAATTTTTAATACTGTATATTCGATGATGTTTAGGTTTTAATAAATTATTGTAATTATCATATTATATTTAAAGTTATTCTACCCAGTAGATGAATTTTTTTTAAATGTAAATAGTAACTTATATATATTATACAAGGTAAAATATAATTTATCTTTTACTTTTTTTGCAATGTATGCCATGAAACAAAAAGATAATGTATAGTTTAAATTACAATACATAAAAATACCAAAACATACAATTCGGCCTAGAAAAAGAGTTGAATCTTTACATTCTTTACCTCATCTGAAACCCATCCTGCTCTAGCCCGCGACCTCTTGCACTTAACCTTGCTAAACTCCATGATTCATTAGGTGAACGGCAAAATTAAATATTTGGCAAAGCGATCAGGGAAGCCCCCACGTGTGGAAATCCTGGCAATCAGTTCTGGCATTACACGCCCTGTTGCTAGCCAAGTTAATGTTTTGACTAGTTCATTGTTTATGGAAAACATAACCGGTGTTTTTCAGGTTTCATTCATAGTTTCTTTATTAGATCGTATCGTAGTAGAGAGGAATTTTATTGTATACACGTGGATCGCACATATATTTTCGATTTTTAGTTTCTTTTTAACATAGCAAGGTGAACTTGCAATTTAGAAAACAGGTAGAAATCAGTTTTGTATGTTCTGCTGATCTTAGAAACATCTGCTGCTTCTTGCAGATAGAATCAAAAATATATAGCTTTTTGAAGTTATACTTCTTTAGGCGCGTTATGAAAAATTGATGAGAGTGAAATTTTACGATGCGCGTGCACCATGACACAAAATTAACAGAATGAAGTTGCCCACGGAAGATGCTACGGCATTGGACATAATTTAAAAACAACATTTAATAATAAAATTTATGTTACACTTAATGTAAGAGAATAATAATAAATATTTATGTATTTATTTTTCAAATGTAGACTGAACTTTATTGACTATAATGACTCCTTTTCCTGTCTTTGATTATTTAATTGTAATTAATTATTTGCATGCAATCAAAAACTATTTTTAATAATGCCAAAGAAGTATAACTTCTTACGCGAGTACATAAGTACTTTTTTTTTTTTTAGAAATTCACCAAGTGATATAAGAACAGTATTGCATGTGAAATATCGCTGTTATAATTTTGCTGGAAGGTAAAAAAGAAAATTCAATAACAGTGTTAAGGAAGGCACCTTCCGCGTTTATTCACATCACCCTACATGATTTGGTAACCCACTCCATAAAAGGTAGACGGACGATAGACAGTTCGCCAAGAATTTTTCAGAATTCGAATAAAAATTCTCTGAAATGTCAAACGGTTTCTTCGAACTCTTAATGAATAAAACATGACGGTTGACATTCACTTATAATTTGAGTCTCGAAAAAAATATAAAAACAAATACATTCCAATATGCTAAAAAGGGTTAGCGATAAATCAGGATGGCACATTTGCATATTAAGTTATGATTCAAAGCACAACAATACAACATTTGTTCGCCGCGCACGATGAATGCTTGATCGGTGACAGTGACATGTGTCAATATTGGCGGGTTTTACACTGTCTAGATGACCTAATTCGGTTTTTAAATTGTTTATTTTATTCCGTTGGTATAATGCAAAAAATCGTTTGACTAAAAAATATACTTTATTATATTTTTATTTACTATCTACTAGTTAACATATTAATGATATTTATTGTAACGATCTTTTGGAATTTCTTATCGAGTGAGTAAAAAATAAAATATACCTAATATCTACTAAAAACCGATACTCGGGTTGTGACTTTCCGTGCCTTTGGAAGATTATGTTATGAATGCTTTTGTTGTAAATATCTCAATGTTTAATTAATCATAATCATGTTATCCCTTTCTAGAAGTAACTTTATTTAGATATGAAACGAGATAGCATGATGACTGATTTTCAATTGTTACATTACAATAATAATTAAGGAAGAAAAGCAGCTACAGTTGTTGCAAAAAATGGTTTGATATATTTTATTTAACACAAAAATGTCGTGGACTTTGCAGCGTGGATTTCTTTGTACAGAATAGAACATTAAGCCGAACTTATATGGAGATAAAACCTAATGTTGTATTGATTTGAGGATTTTATGTGTGTTGAATGTTACAGGACGAATTCCATCCGTTCATAGAGGCCCTGATGCCTTTTGTAAAGTCCTTTTCATACACGTGGTTCAATTTGCAAGCGGCCAAGAGGAAATATTATAAAAAACACGAAAAACGGATGAGTCTCGAAGAGGAGCGGCATACTAAGTATGAGTTACAGGTAAGTTTTAATTCAAACATTTTTGAATAACCTTTGACATAGATAGACGTATTGATACTAACGCGCAACTCATCGGATTTAAGCTAATTTTAAGGAAAATATTTTTTTTATTATCCCTTGACGCAGTCGATGGCAGCAGCCAGTATTTAGACACTAACTTTTCAATGTAGTTTCACTCGCCTCAATAAAACTAACCGCGCATTTTTCTAAATAAAATAGGTGTAATAAAATAAATTGTGCGTGTACTAGGTGTACACACGTAAGAAGTGAAACTTCTTTATGATCTTATTTTTCGAAAAATGATCTACTATATGCAACTTTACAGAAATTCGTTAAATTAGATAAAGTTTAACAAAAGGCTTTTATTATCATAGACATGAATACAAATATTTCATTTTACCTTATTACTACGAAGATTATTATAGAATTTCATTAATTGTAATAGAATTATTACTATCATTGAAAAACGTGACGATTTGCTACAAAACTTCTCCCATACGTCGATAAAGAAGTTTCATTCCAACGCCGATAAAGAAGTTTGACTTCAAAAAGCAACATGGCGCGTAACCGAAAAATGTGACGCGTAACGAAAAAATGTTACACTCAATTTTTTTCCAACCTCGATAAAGAAGTTTCACTTCAAAAATGTAGATAATCATCACTCACAACCTTAGGACGCATAGGTGTTATAATGCAATTGTTCAAATTAAACAGTTTCCTTTATAGAAAATTAAGTCCTTGCTCGTGTCTAGCAAAACAAAAACATAAAGTAGGGTCGTTTCGTCTATCTCTGTGCATATAAAATAATTTATAAATTTCGGATGTTCGGTCTTATGTAACGTGACGTCACTGTATAAATTACACGGATTTATGAGAAGGGAAGAGCTTAGCGCATTGCGTCTGCCCGCCTATGGTATTCGGAGACAGTATGGCGTGTTGCGGATTTTGATATTTCGTTAATAGAATACTGGCTGTTTTTAGATTCGTTTAATAAGTTCGTAAATATTCCTTTTGAAAAACCTATAATGTTTTTGTATTATTTATTTATCTTTTAAAATCCTTGTTGTTTTATCTGTATCAAAAAGTACGTATAGTATTTTATTAAAAATTGTCTCTAGATTTTTAGAAAATATTTGTATATTGTTTATTTATTATGTGGTGCGTGTAAATAGGTATGTATTAGGTCTTTAGATCGATATCGATTTTTACATTATGTATTGAAAAGCAAGTAGACATTTTACCAATCAATAATAACTATTAACGTTTAATTCGTTACTTAAACCCTCAACTGTGGGTAGTGTTATCTATTTAAATACATATTACTAAAAGGAAGAAATAATATTATTTATATATATATTATATATATTTATATATATATATATTATAAGAATTTAATAAAATTATTTATATATAATAAAAGTAAAGTTTAAAATAACATTAACGTAATTAGTAAAACAGCAAAATGTTAAAGATGGATTAACTTTAACTCATATAGCATATTATATGAATGGATATAATTAAAGAAGCTATTATATATATATCCTTTTTCTTTTTCAAAAAATTTTTATCGGCACCTTCACCAGACTACTATATAATCATAATATATAAAACTCTATAACTCAAGAACGGCTGGTCATGGTTTTTCATTTATTGACATAGCTGATAGAAGTATTGATAGTGCATTGGTCTCCGACCCGAAGAGCAGAATAACTTAAACTAAAAACTGAATATTGTCGGATCAGGAAAATAAAAGAAAAATATTTCCAATACAAAATGTTCATGGGTTTCGTCGATCAAACATTAATTAATAATTCATCCCGCGATAAACCCTTTCTCTAGAACGTATTTTAATAAATCTTTCGAATCGACAAGATATATCCACAATATTCGGATACTGGCGTAAATCTAGATTTCAAAAATGTAAAACAATGTCAGTAATAAAAAGGGATTGACATTTTTATTGGTTGTCATATATTTCTGCGTGCGTTCAGACGCTTATTAAGTTTTGTGTTAATTTCTTAATAAAGTAGTGAACTTAATATTTGTTATTACATTTGTATTATATTCTTAAAATCATAAATACAGATATTTATTTCTAACACACAAATATACAGTATTTACAATAAACCTAACCTGCATAATAATAATAATAATTAAAAATTAATAAATAGAAAATTACAACCAATTAAAGAAGTTTAATGGAAGTGTACCTTTAATTAATACATTAAATTCTGCTAATCTGTAACACGACATTCATTAAGTCAGATAGTACCAAAATAAATCTAAAATAGTAGATCTAAAATAAATCAACAAAAAAAACTTTGCCGCTGTGACAAAGTTATATTTATTTATCCTAATAGTACGAGTATCTACATACAATTGGTACGCCACTGTCTTGGACGGTATCCCGCTTGCGTACATGTTTGAGTTAACCGACTATTCACGACCTCTAGGTATGGTGGTTTCATGGTGAACCTAGCTACAACCTGTATGTATATGAATCTACTAGTCCTGTCTAATTCAGAACATTAAAGCCTTTAACAATTTGCCTCTTGTTGCCTTTCATGATGCAAACATTCAACAAGAATTCTTGAAAATTGTACTTCTCATAGTAAAAATAAAATAGAATAAATAAACTTTTCTTCTTCTTCTTCAGTCGCACTGTTTGTGAAGGTTGTGTTAGTTGCACCGCACAACTTCCTCCACTCAATAATAAACTATAATTAAACCAGTGGATTTACAAATTTTCAAGGTAAAGGCTGTGAAGTTTTTGCCGCCCTTGCCTCTAAAATTGTCATGTCCTAGATTATTTTTACAATCCACCAATTTTGTTGAAATTGCACGTAAAATAATCTTTGGGTTTCATTTTTGAGCACAAATTATACACAAACCATCCAGTTCAGCCACCAACCAGAAGGAGTATGGGTTAGGGGAAAGAGGAAAGAGGGAAATAGATTTTGTGCAATTTCGCTCTTTTCACTCGTACAAAGTGTGAGCTGAGGGCGCAGAGGTCGATTACTGGTTGGGGAGAGGTTTTAACTAAGAGGTTTCGAACTAGCTGTTTTACTCTAAAATATGGAAGTTTCTTACACCGAATATACAATGACAAGCGAGAGGGGAAGATCACCTGTAAAACATGAGAAAACGGTCATGCAGATATTTTTTTTATTCTATAAGGTAGCAATAAATAAATTCGGTTCCCAAATTTGCCGCCTCAAAAAACCTGCTGCCTTAGGCTCCAGCCTACTCACCTGCTGGTAAATTCGCCACTGAATTAAACCGAAATCTGAAGCCTCATATCCTACTTCTTTTTATTCCTAAGTATCATTTTATTCTACAATTAACTACGGCTAAATAAACTTGGCAATTTGTAAAACAGCTTGTTTATACTTTTGTGTAAAGTGAGGAGTACCTTATAGACCACAAGCCCATGAACAAAAAATACCTGTGAAATGACCCAACGTGAATTACGCTTAGAAGGCTGTTACTATATCTGAAAATAGCTCTGAGCACTATGCCGTCATTTCTGAGCGGTACATGTGAGTACGTGAGTGAATGGACTTTCTCAGGTACAATTGGGGAATTTCGACTAATTATTAATGTACGGCTTTGTTATAAGTGTATAGATGATTAAAAATAAATGTCGAAAAACCTAGTGCCGTACTAAAGTGATGGTGCCGGAAGTCGGTGCAAATTTTTAATTCGACGACAGTTGCAGAAGCAATATAGGTCATTTATTACTGTACGGCATTTGTGTGATTCCTTTTGGACACATATACAGATACTAAACCCGTAAACGCCGTACATATTTCCAGCGGAGCGGTCGAAAGCCAAGGGTCGCAACCCTACCCCTACACCCATATACCCTAAGGTCATTGTAAAATGTACGGCAACATGTTCAAAATATTATTTAACACGGACAATAATGTTTTATAATTATGCCATCCAAAAATTATAGTTAATATTTGTGTAAATAAATATTTATCGAAATTTCAGAATTTACCGAGTTATTACTGCTGTAAGATCAGAGAATAATGTACGGCAACTTGTTTTTTTACATAATGTTACTAAATGTTACCGTTGTACCTTATAGCCGTTCATTATAAATGGTAACAAATAAAAATATTATGATAAAAAATATATGAAATTTCCGAAATTTAGATGATTTTTCAAATATTCCTAAAGTAATATGAGGAGTAATATTTTCAAAGATTATTGTTATTTTATATGTAACAAATATAAATAAAAAAAAAAACCAGATGCCGTACATTTTGCTCCAGATTATTCTTTACAGCTGATAAAAACTTCGACGACGTTTGAGGTGTCCCTTAAGGTCATTAATAACTGTACGTATCTGAGTATACTACCATAAGGCTGAAAAGTATATTTACAGCCTTATCGTACGAGCAGAGAGAGGTAAAGGAAAAGTATTTTTAACAAAAATAAAATATAATACAGGGCGTCCCAAAGTTTTGGGACATGAAGGGAAAGTACCTTTAATATCGTAGATAGGGTATTTTACTGAAAGAAGACTTTACGTTATTTTTAAAAGTTAGTAATTCTGCATTAAAAGATTTTGGAAAAATTACTAGCCTCGTCTGGAAATCGAACCGGCTTAAATGAAAAAAAAACACCCCTACTTTTATGATACCAATCGAAAGAATGGCCAAAACCTAATAACTTTTCTAAAGTAACAGACTAGTAGGGGTTTTTTGTAGGCCGAATACGATAGATAATGTTTTTAATTTAATTAAAAAGATATGTTCACGCAGTTCCTTTCTTTTAAAATACTATGTTACTTAAGAAGAGTTATTAGTTTTTGGCCATTCTTTCGATTGGCATCATAAAAGTAGGGTTTTTTTTTACATCAAAGTCGGTTCGATTCCCAGACGAGGCAAGTAATTTTTAGAAAATCTTTGAATGCAGAATTACTAACTTTTAAAAATAACATAAATTCTTCTTATAGTAAAATACCCTATCTACGATATTTAAGGTACTTCCCCTTCATATCCCATAACTTTGGGACGCCCGGTATTGGTAGGCGGTGGTATAATCTGCCATTTCACAGACTAGCGGACTATCGAAAGTGTACGGCATTTATCTTTTATTGAAGATTGTCTAAAGTATTAATAACCTGTGTTATTGCCGTACAGATAAAAGTCACGGGAAAATGACTCTTTTTCGGAGGGAAGTAATTTACCCCATACACCTATGTGTTCCACAAAAAATGTACGGCATGCTGGAAAATGTTACCTATTTGTGAAGAACTCTCAAAATCATTTAATTTTATGTTGTTCTATATCATCATCACCTATATGCTAATCAGATATATGTTGCGACCCTTGGCTTTCGACCGCTCCGCTGGAAATATGTACGGCGTTTACGGGTAAAGTATCTGTATATATGTGTCCAAAAGGAATTACGCAAATGCCGTACAGTAATAAATGACCTATATTGCTCCTGCAACTATCGTCGAATTAAAAATTTGCACCGACTTCAGGTACCATCACTTTAGTACGGCACTAAGTTTTTCGACATTTATTTTTAATCATCTATACACTTATAACAAAGCCGTACATTAATAATTAGTCGAAATTCCCCAATTGTACCTGAGAAAGTCCATTCACTCACGTACTCACATGTACCGCTCAGAAATGACGGCATAGTTCTCAGAGCTATTTTCAGATATAGTAACAGCCTTCTAACCGTAATTCACGTTGGGTCATTTCACAGGTATTTTTTGTTCATGGGCTTGTGGTCTATTAGAACGAAAGCAGATTCGGGATTCGTAAATTTGACTTAGGAGTTTTCTTAAGGTAAGATTCAGAATCGAAGCTTAAGTATGGCTCCCGTATTTTGGTTTTGACAACATTTGGCGCTAACTCTTGACTCTAAAGTTTACCCTGAGTAGGTAGACCGCAGAAGGTACCTACAATGTAGATTCAAATTCATAAACGCTCATCAAAACACACAAGAGCTCTTCTTCTAAAAAAAATATTGAATGAAGGTTTTGCAAACCGTTTGAAAGCCTTTTCTAAACGCATCGCTAAAGTTGTTTCAATGAAGTCGTCGAATGAATTTAGATTAAGTAAAAAAATAATTTATTTAAACATAAATTATTGATATTTATAGATTTAATATAGGTTTATCAAAATATCAATTATATATTTTTTTAATGAAGGTTCGTTTTCTAACGTACCTTCCATTGACGTTGGAATTTCACACCATTTTTATTATCAATCATAATATTTTTGGTAGCAAATTGAAAGAATGATCTTAAATAATGTGATACGCAATGTACCTCTTCTACTGAAACTTAACAAATAAATACATATTTGTGATCCGATAAAAAAATAATTCCAGAACGAAAAAGCAGAAGTGAAACAGAAATGGGCGTCAAGATTATTAGGGAAGCTGCGCAAGGACATAACGCAGGATTGTCGAGAGGACTTCGTCCTCAGCATCACGGGGAAAAGACCAGCCGTCTGCGTCCTATCCAACCCCGACCAGAAGGGAAAGATGAGGAGGATAGACTGCTTACGTCAAGCCGATAAGGTAGGTTTCTTTTCTGTCTATGAGTCTACAATAATACACAAATTACAATCTCTACCTGGAGATTACATTCTCCTCTAACTTGTAAGTTAAGTTAACTTTTCTTATCTGTGAGGAAATTTAAAGAATCTTCTCTAATCATAACCTGAATTTCTCTTTATATATCCTGTATTTGTGATGTGTAAATAAATAAATTATATTATGGTGACTTTCTATAATACTTATCGGTTATCCAAACTAATATATTGATCAATGCCAGATACACTTTGTTTCGCACTAATATTTAAAAATAAACCTAAAATACGATTATAAATACAATTCCCAAAAATATACAATTAATTTAGGTGACTTATGAATGACATGAAAATTAATGACTTAAAATTTACATTTACTTGAATGGTTTAATTATTACATAGAAAATAAACATCGTCCCTTTAGATCAAATGTATTCAATTTAACATTAGTCAACATAGCCACAGATGTGGTAGTTTTATCAAAACCTCTTGATTTCTTACACGTTTTACCCCACTTTCCAGGTGTGGCGGCTAGACCTAGTAATGGTAATCCTTTTCAAAGCAATACCACTAGAAAGCACAGATGGTGAGAGATTGGAGAAACATCCAGAATGTACGCAGCCAGGCCTCTGTGTGAACCCTTACCACATCAACGTATCAGTTAGGGAGCTGGACCTCTACCTTGCGAACTTCATCAATAGCTATGGTAATGGGAGCGACGGTCTGCCAGGTCTATCGCTCAACTATTGTCTTTAAATGCTTCATTTTCCGCCCTGTAAAATGCAATAAATAAATTTTTGATCCAGTATTGGACATTTAAATTAATATCGATAGGAGTGGAAAATGAAGCACACATTTTTCTGGCTTAAGATTTATTTATTTTTAGCATAGATGCCAAAAATAAGAAATATGTATTTGTCAAACAATATAAGACACGTTACAGTTGAACTAAATATATTTTAAATAATTTTGAATTAGTAATATTGAAAAAGTAATTAGTAATTACAAAGGAGTACCTACATACATTACAAAAGGAACTTAAAGTAAAAAGCTTATTTAAATATACTAGGATTTCACTTTTATAACTTAAATATTATTACTTAGGGCCCTTCAAGAGAAGAGCGTTCACCTCAAAGGCACTTGCAAACCTCGTGGTATTGCGGGAGCACGTCCATGGGCGGCGTTAAGCACTTATCTTTAAGTGACCCGCCTGCTCGTTGGCCTCCTGTTCCATAAAAAAAAACGTGTGTTCACTTATGTACACGCTTTAGAAGTTATACTTCTTTGGCGTAATAATTTTCTTCGACCACTTTAGAGCGACGTTTCCCTCTTCGAATTGCATTTTTCTTGCCCATTTTAATGGTCACTTCCAATCGAATGTGTACCAATCATAATATTTAAAAATAAACACTATTCTCGTATAGAAATCATTATTTTGGTTTCAATAAACACGACTCTGAAAAACACTACGCCATGACAGACAATGCAACTTGTCGATTAAACACAGCAAGCGTCAACTAGCGGCCCAGACTGTTTTACCGACGTTTGAACAGATATTCAGTTTTGGTGACGGTGTGCGCGCGCATCGTAAAAAATTACTCTCATCATTTTTCCCTAACGAGCCAAAAGAAGTATAACTTCAAAAAACTATATTATTAGTTTTATGGCTAATGAAAGCGTTAAGAGACATATAATCATTATCTTCTGGTTTTCGCATTCTTTTTTGAACAAATTTGAAAACTATTTAAAATAAAACTTTTATCACAGAATAAATACGGTTCTATAACTTCAATTAAAAGCTACTACTAAAATCGTTAATTGTATTTTATCTAGAATATTATAAAGTGGTAATGTTTCAGATATCCTAAGCGGTTCATTATCGCCAAACCCGCCTAGGGACAAAGAGAATGAACATGAGGCAAAGAGCAAAGGTAACTTAAAAGTAAAGGTGTCGTGTCGGTGTCGTGTCGTGTCTCGTTACGGTCACTGAGAATGTGTTTGCACGCTTTTTTTATTTGCACGTGTAGCTTTGTAGACAGTGCATCTTGTTGTACTTTTAGGTTAGGATTACATATTATGTATATGAAGTTCATGTTTGGTGGGGATGGTTTAATATAAAATAGATGCGATAAATAAATGACGCTCAAATGCTATAAAAATGCCGACGATTTTTTGACGATTTCAGTTGGATTACGAAGCTAATATTTAATTTATTTCTGTGACAAAGGGATGTTTAAAAGAAATATATACACACGGGTATAGTCACAAAAAAATTTAAATAAAGTATTATAGATTGAAGAGAAATTAATGCTAATAAAAAGCCCAATGGGCTGACTTTTTTAATCCTAAGAAGTGGTAAAACAAAAGACGATAGCGCGTATCGCTTGATTGTGATTGGTTAAAAGGAAAGACGGTACGTGTCCCGTGTGATTGAACTAAAGATTGATTTTTTTTTAAATAATACCAATTTCCTTCGTTTCAATTTAACAACAACAGTAAGATTTTGAGTCTATACTGTGATTTTTAATTCCGTAGAATTGTGACAGCTATAATTTTCTGACATGTCAGAGATTACAAATCTTTTTTCAATTTCAATTTTCAATACGAGTTTGAACATCTGACTCTATACATACATTGTATTTGTTAGTGAATGTATCCATTTTATTAAGTACGGTGCTTCACATTTAAAGTGGTTCTACGGCGACTGATAATTACGTCCCTTTTCATCACAAGCAGTAAAAAACGCACAAGTAAAGATAACATTTTTTTTTTTTTTAAAAGGTTTACTAAACCTGGAATTAGTAGGCGGTGATGCCAGCTAAAGAATAAAATAAAGTAATCAAAATTTATTCGATATATTGTTCGTGATATTGAAGTATTTGTTATTTTTGTATTAGGTCACTTGAGTAAGTAAATATTAAGATTTACCTTTTTGTAGGTAAAACATAAAAAATACGTAGCATTTTTTTTATTGCCTTCAAATGGGTTAAATTTGTCCCTTTTTCGGCGGAGAACTTTTTTAGTAGCAACACTTATGAAATGACAGAATTCTACGGTATGAAAAATCAGAGTATAGACAGCTCTAAGTGTGACTCTCGTGTGTCAAATTCGATACGTTTTTGACTAGCGTGACAATTACCTCAAGAAAGTCTCAGAATCTCACTCTTAGAACCAACATAAGCTTGGCTCGTTCATAAAACGTTATTACTTTTTTATATGATTATTTTTAATTCAACTGTTTTAATCTTTTAATTATTATGTTGCGTTCGTAGGAATCAACCATGAAATCTATTGGGCGCGACTTATATTAAGACTTTGAGAGACCATTTCCTTATTGATAAGAAGAAAAAAATATTTATTCAAATTTATTTTTTAATTTACTGCTTATGTGTAGATATACTAGTATATATAAATCTGAAACTTTTAATCGCTAGATATTACCACTAAGACATATTTACAGTGAATTGTTAATAACACACTCCGGGAAAATTCGAAATACCTATTGCAGTTGCTTCGTCCAGAAAAGAAATATTTTCTCGCGTGAGCTACTGCTAATGCTATATAGAATCTAAGTGTTAGAAAGGTTTTGCTCAATAAATATTGATAGCAATTTCTTTCAAATTGTATCATCTATATTTATATCACATATATGTTATATTAACCTCAAGGTAAATCTTCTGCGATGTTCATTATTTCAACAGTAAGGACAAACATAGCTATTTAACTTCTTATTCAAAAAAACTAAATCTAATTTCACCATTTTAACTTTGTACTCATGCGTCTCTTTTCATCACAGCATAAACACAGTTTGACAGAAAGAGACGGAAGTAGTTTTTATGAATAAGGATGAATACTTGAATTACGTTTAATTAAAAAGGTGTCTAGCGATTAACGATTGTCAGTAGAATTATAAAACCATTCTCAGACCTTAGCGAGTACAATTGGTGTTTGCACAGAGACATTTAGGCACATTTTTTAATCCCATTGGCTTGCACTCACATTCATGCTTAACGTTTGAATTTGGTCAAATTATCTGTAGTTGGTGTTCCTTCTCTTTCTTCTTGTCTATGCTCTTCTAAATATATTTAGCACGACGATCTCGTACTATATTCGTAGTGGTACAGACTAAACAGTGGTTTTATTTCTAACTACAAAGTCTACATGACTTTACAAAAATTACGTAGCACGTATATAATTAAACAACATTCTTATATTTAGAAAGTCTAAATCAGTATTAACTGTTTTAATTAATAATAAGGAGGTAATAAAATGATTACACTATACTCCTTCCCTGTTCTTCTGTCAATTGTTTTCTAACGCAGATAAAAACAGATGAAAATCAAAACATTACATACAGTATTTATTTAAAGAACTGCTTTTTGTAATCGTACATTTATTGCCAGTTCTCAAATTAAGGGCATAGAACAGATTAGTAGAACAACAGTGTATAAAGACTGATTTATTATACACATCATATTTGTGTGTATGTCCATTATTTACTTAAATATATCCAATAAGTTTGTAGCAAAAATGCTGCATGAAAAATTTTGAAGAGCAAAGACATTGGTGTGTTATCTCTGATTTAGAAATTTGAAAACGATTGTATCTTTTCGTATGTCTGTTAACCTACGTTGTTAAATTTACATATTATTACCGTCCAACATTTATATTTAGGTGAAATGAAAAATAGTAGCTATATTGACTATCCTTTAAACTATAGATAGATTTTAATTCCCTGAGAGAAAATTTAGTAGTACTTAGAAGTGAATTTTCTGAGACAAATATTATCCTATACTATTATTGGCTGATCTACAATAATAAACTCAAAAAAAAAACAGTTCACATTGATAAGAAACATAAAGCAATGTGGACAGAAATATGTCTATCCCTATTTATACTGAAGCTATCGTTTAGTGGAAATGAGATAGATAATAAACCTTAATTAAAGCCATTAATAGATAATGTGTGGGATGTGGCTTTCAGGCTACACGCACAATCCGTACAATGGTGTTATATGCAACGATATCATTTTAGCGACCGGCGTCTTCTCCTCCAAGGAGCTTTGGAAGCTCTCTAAAGGTAATTTTTTTTTTATTTAAACAAATAATACTGTTATAATCTTAAAAATAATTATTTTCACTAGAAAACATAAAAATTTCAATAATTAAATAATATATGTATAGTATCTTAAATAATGAAACTTTCTTCAATAAAGTGTCAAAACAGTATGTCCTTCTGTATTTTTTCTTATAATTTATAATAATTCCAGCCTCGATTCTCCAAGAGACGGGTTCAGAATCTCCCAGTGGGTCCGGCGGCGGTATTAAGCTGGAGTCCAGCTACTACGGCTACAACAGTCCAGCGCCGCCCGCCTTTGAGCCGCCCACTGACCGAGGGACTCCCTCTACCATGCTTGTTGGACAGTGTTTTAGTGAGTTAATATACATTTTGCTTAATGATTTTTAACTATAAGATCTTTTTAGTGTTACCATAGTCACAAAAAATAAATGTATGCGAAGGAGGCGTATTTTACACAATAAATCTTACCTTATTTTGTTTTTGTCTCTAAAGGATAGTATAGTCTCGTATCTGATCTAAAAACCCTTTTTTAGAAGTAAAAATTACATCATTATTTACTCTTCCATAATAAACACACTATAATTAAAATATGAATGTACGAAAGTTTTACTGTTCGCCTTTCGACGTGTGACCATACAGTAATTTTTAATATAATACAACACAATACAAAATACTTGGTCAGTGTGTCCTGGGAGACCTAGGCCTCTTTTAGTTCCCACTTTTTTCTATCCCGGGCAACTGTAGTCCACACAGCTGTAGTTCCCGCCGTTGTTTGCACTTCATGCCCCTATCACCTGACCTGACTACCTCTTTATCTTTCCTTTTAGTAGTGAATTTTGTCCATTCTGCTCTCTCTCTTTGAATGTTGCCATTTAAGCCGATTATTTTCTGTAAAACAACTTCACATTTATAATCTTTCTGACTTTGTCTGCCACAAAGTCTTCCATTCCTCCTCGAAATATGCTCCTTTCCATTCTTCTTTGGCATGTTAGAAGGTATCTATGGTTGAGTGCCTATGTTTGGCATCTGTAAGGTATATAAAATATTGACTGGCTATTGACCAGATATACATAATTGACGACATGCTCGAATGCTTTCTCCATCCACCAGTCCAGTTTCGGGTAATAAACACGCCATAAAGTACTGCAGTAAAGAGTTTTGGCGACAAAGTGTCGCCTTGTCGCACTCCTCTTGCGATAGGTAAATCTTCCTCATATCCTTGTACTTTCACCTGGGCTGTGTTATTTGTATATTATGCGTCTATGATTCATTTATACTTTTTTAGTAGTCCTTGACAACTTAATTAACTTTGAATATTTAGTAATATTAATTGTCTAATTTAAATTGTATCATAGGATCAATGGCTCTAGTGTAGAAGTTAGTTCTTTTAATTATAAATGAAATAAAAATAGTACGGATGAAATTTTACACTGATACTATATTTAACTCAAAGGACACTTTTGATAAAGAATATTTTGTAAGATTTCCATTGATTAATTTATCCTTGTGTTTCGGACTCGAATACCTAACATGGCAAGCTTTTTTCAATAGTAGGTAATAAGTTCGCACCACTGTCATTGTATGAATCCGTGAACATTAGAACATATAATAAAATGCCGCAGATATATTTAGCATAGCTTTTGTATTATCGTCATAGAATAATTCGAAACTGAATAAGTAAAATATATAATGGTATGATTAGAGCAGTGTTGGCCTAGTGGCGTCAGCGTGCGGCTCTTAACCTTGACTTAGTAGGTTCAATCCCCGGCTACACCAATAGATTTTCTTTCTATTTGCGCATTTAACATTCGCTTAAACGGTAAAGGAAAACATCGTGAGGAAGCCGACTTGCCTTAGACCTAAAAAGTCGACGGCGTGTGTCAGGCACAGTAAGCTGATCACCTACTTGCCTATTAGATTTACAAATAATCATGAAACAGATACAAAAATCTGAAGCCCAGATCTAAAAAGGTTTTAGCGCCACTGTTTTTTTTTATAATAGTATAATTCTAATTGTCAAGTCTTACAGTTAATAGTACAATACCTTTTTTTAAATTACACTCATTAAATAAATATTCAATATTGAATGAATTTTAATTCATTATTCGCTAAACAATGGTAGTTTTGTTATCATATGTAAGACTATAATTTACAAGCCCCCCGTGTTAGTATGCACATCGCGTTGGTCCAACTAAATATAGCGTCTTTTGTGAATCAGAAGTCAATGTTGACGTGTTAAAGGTTAACGAACGTTTATTATAGTGTTCTTACTAAATAAAATATGTGTAATCATTGTATATTAAAGTTTTATTTATATAAGAATAATTCACCCATATGTATGTATTATATTCATCCTTATCTATTAAATTGAGTTTCGCTATGAAAAACGGCGGAACAGTGCTTTTTAAACATTGTGAAAGTGTCTATTATGAATAAGGTGGAAATTTTAAAGAAAGGTTTATTAATATAAAGGTAGTGTCGACTTTATAGAGAATAGATAATTTCTTCTCCTGCTTCCTTTGAGTGCCAAAAGCGTTTGGGGTTTATGAATAGTTAAATCAGCTAGTTAATACTTAATAAGCTCCGTGTAAATCCAAAAAATTGCCCAATGTTTCCCTCAAAATAGTCAGCGAATATGAAAAAATAACGTAGTTACACTAGATATATGAATATTCAAAGTGTAATTCATTTTAATAACAGTAAATTTTTTATAGAACAAAGTGCCACCTAGGTAATATATCTGAAACTTTTCCAGGCATCCCACATAGTTCGTCGGGCCTCAGTGCTGCGCAGGCGCCCTTGGTGCCTTCTAATACGATATTTTACCAACATGCACCACCTCCTACTGACACACATCCTACTTGTAAGTGTTATATTCAATACTAGATTAAAAATGAATTAACTTTGACTTTTTTGTAAAATCTTTTCTTTTATTTTGCATTCGTACTAAACATCTTATTTAATTAAATTATTTATTATTTTGGATTTAATCTAACGCTTTATGTATTATAATAATATAAATTATATATGATAGAAATTCTCTAAAATGTGTTTGGAAAATACAGTGCAAATCACTAAATAGTGTATTTCTTTAATTTTGGCTTCAGACTATTATTTATCGGTCCCGATGAATGGTTTTACAAAGTATCTTATCATTTAATACAGATGTTTGCCTTTCAGCTTCTGAGGGTCTATCAAGCCAGCACTCTAGCAAATATGATGGGACACCCCAGGATTCCCTAGGGGACTTCGTCACTTTCGTTTGCCAAGAACCACCTACCGATGTTCAGCAATTACAAGTTAGTATCGCCAAAAACAGCAGCCCCCTGCATCAATGGATTTAACTTTTCTGCGAAAATGGAATTTTCAAAAAATGTATAACGTGTACATAATTGTCTACCTTCGAAACCCTTATTAGGCTAATTGCCGATTTTAACCTCAACTCATCTCAAATCATCGCTCATGTGTTATATTTTATCACAGCGTAAACAAAATTTAAAAGAGACGAAGGAGAATTTCAGTTAATAGTAATTTGACTTATTTAGTTTTGAAGTTACCTTTACCGATCTAACGAGAAAAATGGTCAATAAATATATCTAAGTCACGGCTAACTTAGGTTTATTCACAATATTAATATCTAAAAATAGCTGAAGTATTTTAACTAACAATATTATTTTAAATATTGCCCTATCTGCCCTCGCGAACTTCGTTTCGCCTTAATATGATTTTATTTAGGCTACTTTTTAGTAGCTACATACCGACATGCAGAACATTTTGCTATGCTACCCCATAGAGACTAAAACTGACCCTGAGTACTAAATAAAAATATTTTGTTTTTATTTTCAAATATTTCACTCTTTAGAAACCGTCCTAGAGTTCAAGAAATAAATTTAAGAAATACTCGAATTGCTCCAGCCGTCTTCTGCGCCTAACAACATATTTTGTGATTATTTTTTATTTATATGGAAAAAAAAGTAAAAAATTTTCTCAAATAAGTACATAAATATTAAAATGTATCTTCCAGGTTCATACTTTATCCAGAAGTCCAAAACCACCGTATTTCAGCAGCTCCATGTTACCACCACCACCGCTACCACCAATGGCAAGGCCAGTTGCTATTATCAGATCTACAGGTATGTTTTGTAGTGTATATTTATTCATAACATTTAAAAGCGCTGAGTTCGTTTTTTTGTTTAGTGTTTCCATAGTAAAAAAAAGTGCGTGCGTACAAAGTACACATGTCAGAAGTGAAACTTCTTTGGCAAACAAATTTTTAACTCTTGTTCATAATTTATACAAATCTAAAACTTTAGATTTCCGAGACTAACGCTGGCCATAGACGGGCCGCATGTTGCAGTCGAGACCGACTGCTCTAGAGCGGTCGCGTTGAAGTCGTATACGACTGCAACACGACCGCATAATGCAGTCGACTACGACTGCTTGGAGCAGTTGTGTTCGACCGCAAAATAATACTGATGCGAGTTCATTTACAAGATGGATTTCGATGAAGAAACAATGCTACTTATACTATAATTACGCGAGCGTAGGCGTAGAAGACACCGTAGTATGTGGGTGCGTCCAATACTACAATCAAGAGAACAGGATGGAATATTTCATACTTTGTATCACCAGCTGAGGGAAGACACTAAAAAGTTTTCAACTACTTTAGAATGTCCGTGGTTTCATTTGATGAATTAGTTAGTATTTTATTTTATTTGAGGGAGTGGCGTGCGGTCGGTAGCAACCGCTTGTAGCGGTCCGTGTATGGTGGGTCCGGCAGCTCTAAGCAGTCGACCGCACGGCGAAACTCGACCGCAGAGCGACTGCTCCGACCGCTCAGAAACTGGTCGTGCGGTCCGTGTATGGCGGATATGAATTTAGTATGGAAACTGCAGTTCGCCGTGCGGCGACCGCTTAGAGCAGTCGGTGTCGACGGCAACATGCGGTCCGTCTATGGCCAGCGTTAGAGGGAGGGAAAAAGGAAGTTATGTTAGGAATTTAATGAATTTAATTGTCATTAAAAGTGTCGAAAATTAATACAAATTATAAATTGATATATGATATAAAAAAACACGTGGCATTTTAATGAACAATTCGTCATTTGAGATTTCAATAAATTATTTTGCATAAAATATAAAATACTAATATTTCATAAATTCTCTTTACGAAATTTTAATTTTAAAAATAGAATTTCGTAAATAAAGTAATTCACCGTTCTCACTCTCTCTCAATCGGTCTCAATCACTCTCTCCCTTTTCTTCGACAAAAACGCTGCACATCGTCGTGACGTTCTGTAAAAATGTTACCCCCATGCGCCTAAAGAAGTTTCACTTCAAAAAACCCACAATCACACGATCTTTTCCCTTACAAACCAAATTCTAGCCATGTGCTTACGAGCCAATCTATATATTGTATAATATCTGACTGAATGCTGTCTAATAGAGTAATAACTACAATAACACATGGTTTTATCAGCTTTCATGCAATTTTTTTTTCGGTTTGAAAATTTTAACGTTTCACTGTACATCTCGTGCCCATCACCAAGCTACAAGCGCGCGAAATCGTCTTTAAACACAATTTTTATTTTTTTGTAAGTATGTATCACAGACATTTATTTAAATTTGTGTGGATGTCTCTCCAGCAAGTGAAGTAGGTGTGGGTGGCGTAGGAGTGGGATCTCCGTCATCTCCCGAAGTGCGGTCACCAAATGGGTCTCCACGACGTCGTAGTCCGCACCCCTACAGGGATTGCCATCCTCCCATCTCACACTTCAATCACTTCCACTCGCAGCCACAACAGGTAATCTTCAAAGCTCGTTCAGTGACCAGTTTTGATGTGGGGAGTATAATTAATATCACAGTCTACCTGTTTAGGCAAAATTAGCTCACTGTCTATGTACTACACAAGTGTAGCGACTATACCTACTCTGAAACGCGCTAATGAAGTTATTCCGGCCGATAACGATATATAAATCTTCTTGATCTTAGCCACTGGAACCTCATGCCGGCCAGTCCGTTAGAGTGGTCGAGGATCATCCCTTTAGGTTGGAGTAACAGTACACTATTCTTCCTCCACACAAGTTTCTATCTATTCAACTACATCCCTTACATCATCTCGAAGTTCAAAGTGGATTATAGAAATTTCGATAACACTCCAAAACTGAAAAAAAAGGGACGCAATATCATCAATTTGTATACATCAAATACTAACTTAATAAAGCACATGTAAGCTACAAGTAATAAATAAATATAATAATTGCAGGTGTTTAGCTACGGGTCTTTAGGTGGTGGGGCAGTGGTGTCCGGAGGAGGCGGGAGTTCGCCCCCGGGAGGCCTGGGGCTATACGGACCTCGACCTCCACCTAGAGCACCACCAAGGTATGGTTCTTACTTACAAATATCACTAATATTAGCTGTAGTACTATCGACAAGAATAAATCATCTTTTTAACCTTGTGCATTTACTTCTTTGCATAAATAGACTCTGTTTTCTCAAATAATATAATGTTACTATATTTGAATTATATGTGATTTGTTCTATCGATATATTTGCACTGTGCATTTAACTATAAAAAAGTAAAAGTTATGAATTCATTTGCAGATGGAATGCCCCTTTTCCAACATTAGAAGAGGAATTTAATATTATGACAGCACCAACGGGTCCAGACCACGTCGTTTTATTGGATGATGGTAAATAAAAAGCTTTATTTTAAAGTTTCTATTTATTTCGCTAAAAAAAGTTTCAAAACATTTGAGAATGAATGGTCATTGTCTTCTATACTCAGAGATTTTGAAACTAAGCTTAAATAATTGAATAAATGTGATTGTGACCAATAGGCATCCGATGCCTATTCATTAACAGAGGGCAACTTTGTTTTCACAGAGCGTTTCTTTCAATCCAACGTAATAACTTCAGACACCACAGCCATGGACACCACCGGGACAAATGTCCAATCCGTAGTCGACACGGACGACATTGCCCCGGATAAACCGGCTCCAGATCTTCGATCACCGTGATCCTTGCACGGTGCGACCGAGACGTCTGTTCATGGCGACGGTTCGGCCGCAACAGTGCTAAGGTGGACCCCCGCGCCCCTCCCTCACTGGCGACCTGTTACGCATAGACACTGACCTCTATTGTACACTGTACTGGCTTGAACGTTTCAAAAAGCAGAATTATTAGTGCTACTAATACTGTTAGGTTTTTACAACGTTTCAAAAATCTACCACATACGTCTTTCGTGAAAGTTGTATGTTGTACGTCTTTCGTCAAAGTTGTATGTTGTACTATACACTACATGTACACTTTCTGATTTAGTTTTTGGCCAGTTCAGCGTATTTAGATACCCTGGTACTAACTACCCTCATTTTCACAGAAAAACAACAAAGTTTTATAAATACTGACATTCAAGTTCACCGTCTTTATCGGCCCTTTCTGTTTCAAATTGTGGTTTACTCTATGATTAAACTACCTTAGGAATAAACGGGCCTGAAAGAATAAGGATATCGTTAGAGGTCAGACCACCGGACTGTCTTTCGAGTTTCAATTTGAAATCGAATATTTTCATTTGACAATAAATTTATTCGCTGTACAGAATAATTTTTTTCTATGTAGTGTACATATTATTTTGTTGGCATTGTAGTTTAGTAGTGTGACTTTACCGACGTCACGTGTTGATGACAACGCCATCTAGTGGACTATTTTAATAACTGGTAAATCTGTTACAAAAGTTATAAAAACAATTATATTCTAATATTTTTATAGAATATAACGAATATGAAAAAAGCCTTCCAGTAATTTAGTGAATATTTGAAAGTTACTGCTTTTATCGTTTGTTTTGCTGACCTTAAAGGCAGTTAAGAAAAATGCTTCCAATTTTCAATTGAAAGTGTGATACGTTGTTTTTGTTCTGTTTAAAAATAATTAGTGTAAGCGCAGTGTTTTATTGAGATTTTTAATTTATTGAACGTTTGAGAAAGACGAGCCTTGCTTAAGAATTTAGTTTACATGTATATTTAGAAGCGGCTGTCACATATTTATCATATTTTAATCCGACATTTCTCTTCGAAAATTCTCCACAGACTAATAAACAGAAGATCTCAAAAGAAGTGTTCACATTACTGCTTAGACTGTGGTTTTTATCGGCGAATTATTACCAACAATCAAGTTATATCGGATTGAAACCGATAAATATATGATAGAAGTAGATCGACCTTTGTCGAGGGACATATAGGTGCCTTTCGTAACGTATAATAACTTTATTATTAGGACATAAAATGTAGTGTTCGTCATAAATCCATCCGATTTTTGTAGGCATATTTTGTAACCAAAAAGGTGAAATGACATTGATGATTAGATTAATTTCTTAGACATAGAAAATACCACTATTTTAATAGATAGCTCTTAGGTATTATACATTTATAACACGCAAAAACAGAAGTAATTTTTCATTGTTTTAATTGCATAATATATAGCCTATTGTTTTGGAGGCAATAATTAAAAATCAATAAATACATTTTTAGAAAAGTGTTAAGTAAAAACATCGTTCAATTATTTATAAAATTTTACGCCATATTTAAATGCTTTTGACTATCGGAACAAAGAATGATTCAGGACGATTAAAATACCTTATAACAGTTAAGAACTGACTGAGATAATTATTAATATATGGGAATATACCGAAATTACGCGCGTGAACATAAACTTAAATCGCCACAGCTTACACGTAGTCAACTATCATGTAGATAATCATCATGTCAATCTTTTTGGTTACAAAAAGGCAGTAGTGCTTGTTATAAAATTATTTAAAATCATGTTTTGGTTTTTTGAGTTCCCGTGGCCATACATGCTAGTCATTAGTATAGCAATGTAATGTACTTAAAGAAAATATTTACAATTATAGATCCCCTTACGTATAGTAAGGGGCGATTGTGGCCAAATTACACTTAAATCTAAATATATATACACGGTTTGATAGTTAAGCTCGAACGCGAAGGCTTTGAATGGTATTTCTGTCTCTTACTGAGAGGGATAGCGATAGTTTGAAATAAACCTTTGTGTTCGAGTTTTAGTTTAAGGTGCGGTTGAGTTGACAGCGTTTTTGTGCATCATAATCCAGCAGTGTGATATGAATCTGCGATCTCTATATCGCTGTCATAAAACAACAAAATCAAAATTTTGAAATTCATACACCACTGCCCGATTACAAAAGTTTTATGTCAACTTTTGGGTTCCTAAAAATATCCTTATTTTACACGTCTTCATTGAGGCACACATTTTAATATAACTTTTAGATTTAGCTAGTTACGCAAACTAAAACAATAAACTTTTGGATTATACCTTGCTTTTGTATCGACGTGTGAAAGAAGGATTGATACAATTCAGTAGGTGCCATGTATACAGGCCAAAAGCTGCAGAGGATTTTCTAATCAGTTGCCCTTTTATAGAGAACTAGTATAGTGTAACGTAGCAATAACAAACGAGCAATAAAGATTATTATAAATCAGCTTTAGTGAGCTAGAAGTTAGTACGATCGTATGACACGCAATATTTTTTCTATAGAAAGAGGATGGAACGGAGTTCCCTGTTGAATCAGTTTGGTACAATTTATAACTTAGCTGTTCCACAGACTATAGATATATTTAACAGCTACTAGTTGAAATAGGAAGCGAAGATTTAGTCAATTGCTAGCTATATACATTAGTTATACCAGAAATTAGGCGTCACGTAATAACGTTCGGACATCACAATTTCGATCTAAACTAATGTGACGAATTTAAAAGCTCATTGGTGCCGAATATTCTAGACTGTGATTAAAATTGTTCATTCTGGACGTGTCTTATATTGAAATAGTTGTTTTGTATGATTGGCGATAACGCACGACGTGCTGAAGAAAATAGAGATTTAAAGAGTGCCTAGTATGAGTTAAGCGATAATGCGTTTATTTAGGCGTGACGTTAGGATATTTTGTACCTTTAACCTACGATTTACATCTAGTGAGATGCAGGAAAACGTAATAATCTAAACGAAGTTCTAATACTGCATCAAATTTGGTTTAAATTACACTTTGAGTGATACAGTAATTTCACGAACTTCACAAATTATTAAACGAGTAAGACGTAGGAATATATACTTACGTTTTATGCTTACGTATTCACGTAAGTATACGTATACATCAAAAAATCGTTTGAAAAATGTAACGGGTTTATTACGCACAAATCTAAAATGTATACAAATATGCCCAGAAGATCACGTTTAATACTTTGAAGTATAGATACTGGGCATTGCAGAAATGTTCAATATCACGTTTTATTTACTTGCAACTCACACTAGGCACTCAAAAACATGTTGTATGAAATGCATTTGTTGAAGCGGATAAGTAAGGGAAACAGAGATGTTAACTTTTTTATTAACCGTGTCTGTAGGTTCCGTAGTATTTATTAATAGCTTTGCAATAGCGTGTGCGTGTGACAAATTCATGCGTCTGTGTGTTTGTCACAACACACATTCGTTCTAATTTTTAATTAGCACCATTGTTACGATATGGAGTAATAATTGAAAGCCTAAACATTATGTGCCTTAGATACAACAATATTGTATATTTATGATGCGTTCTATACAACGTGCTAACTAGAAATAAATGATTAAATTTACTTTAAAAGCCTGTACCTTCATTGTTAGATTTCATTTCCGCGAAGGCTTATGGATACCAATTACTCACACAACGCGTGAGATGTTCATTTGTTTATTTCCCCCTGGAAGCTCCACAGTTCGATATCGTTGGGCACCCAGCAGTCTGGAAGTTTATTTCGAATCCAGAGTTGTACCTCGTCTTAAGTATATTACGGTTAAGTAACGCTTCTACGCGTAGTTTCGCTGATTAATGAATACTTCTAATATATTCTATAATTTTAGTATTACCTACATTGTACCCTACCCGTGTATATTTTACTGGCATGTATATCTTAATCTATGAGAATTTAGGCTCGCTTTTATTTGATTAGGTCCCTATTTTGACTCCTGCGATGCTTTTTAATGATTTCAATACTCCGCACTTATTTCTGACGAATATATTTAAATATAAAGAAACAAAAATCCGTCTTTATAAGTTTTGGATTTCTCAAATTGAATAACAACATACGTAATTAAAGATTAATTAAGAATAATTAACCGTTAGAAGAATACTCCTAGTTATCAATTATGTTAGTTTGTCAATTTAATCGTGCAATTATGAATTGTGTAGCGAATTTATTAATTATTTTTTAAGTATTGTGTCCACATTTTTTTGTATGTAAATATTTTTTGGAGTGTATTTATAATTTTCATAAAGTAGACGAAAAATATTGTTTGTCCTTACCATTATTTAATTAATTTCGTAGTATTGTTTTGTCTCGTGTGCATGTATGAATCAAATGGCTTAATAAAACACCAATGGCTAAGTTATTTGATTTTTATATGAAACTTAATTAAGGATAGTCTTGTAAAAATGTTATAACATGTATTTTTAACCTATACATAGTAAGATATTTATAGAAATTTAGTCGTTTAATTATTTCGAACGACTTGTTATAAAGAAAATTGGTGCTTAAAGCTTAAAACAAATATGAGGCACAAGTTGCCATGTGTGTATTGTCAGGAGTTGGAGCATTATGACATAGCATGCGTTGTTATGCTCGTATTTTACGATAAATTGTTAATAAAACCGACAGTGATTAGTAAAGCCTTTAAAATTCCCGGAAAATGGCCACTACTAAAGGCACATGCGCGAACTTTTCCTTCACCACGCAGTCTGGCCAAGATCAAGTTATAATATCTACGCTCAAAGAAATTGAAAATACTGCCACCTATCGGGCGTTTATGGAAGCTCTGACGCACAAACTAGCGCACAAAGGCTATAAACAATTTAACGTAAATATACAAGCAATTATAATAATGTAGGTAAACTTTGCTCAATATCGAAGAAAACTGAAAAGTGTTACAGTTGATGCAATACAAAGAAACAAACAATAGTTGTGTTTTATTTACACAAATTAAAGACCTTATTAACATCCTTTCCTCTAGCAATAGTTTGAAAATGGTAGAAGAACATGCTCAAGATTCCATAAATAATATTTCGAATTTAGTTCAAAGATGAATAAGATAAAGTTTTGAGATCTCAAAAAGTGATTGAAGCGATATTTTCGAGTAAAAAATTACCAGAATTTAAACAGAATGCAACTAAAAGTAAATTAGAAAAAAACCACGTGCGAAACATACACGCAAATAAATAGTTTTTTTCTGCTTACAAGAAATTGAGTTAATTTTTAAAAGACAAAATTTTCTTAGTTTCGTAGTTACTTAATTCGCACATAAGTTTTATGTGCTAACGTTATCTTTATGTGGCCATATAAAATACTAACTTACACCTTTTTCTTGAATTTTCTAATTAATATATTCTTCGATAAGTAGGTGGTAATAATAAGTGGATTTTAATTTTAGCCAATAAATCGAAAAACGCCAACGCGATCGCGGAAAATCAATATCGTTTGAACCACGCGGTGGGTCTAGAAAACGGCGATTATAAGTAACAGCTCATACGAAGGGTATTGTAATAGTTAAAGTAGGTTTTAATTCAACGCAATAAAATTGAATTTACCGTGCAATTTCTATGGTATATAACTTTCTTCTTTTGTCTTTCCATAGAACGGTTAATCGACGGCCAGCCTTGTGCGATATCGATTTTACGAAACATGAAGACATTGAGCGGAATATCATCATCCTTTTCTTTTATGGGATAAACAATGCAAAAGAAAGAGATATACATATATTATCAAGAAGGACTGTAAAACTGGGTTGTCATGACAACGGTACGTCACAGAGGGTTAGATTTCCGATATTATGAGATCGAAGAATATCTAAAGTCGATAAATTAATGGTTTTTTTCTCATGTCCGAGTTGATTGTCGAGGTTTTCATAAATGGTGAAGATGTCTCCATCGCCAATGAAATTGAGGTGATCGATTTAGAGGGAGATTCAAAAAAAATTGAAGAGGAATCGGTAAGAAACGAAATGGCGCGTTTTTGTCTATTATTGATTTTTAATTTTTTTTTATTGATTTTTCAATACAGTTGCTCTTTGGTGTTTAACTTTTATATTTTTTTGTACGTATACAGCATAATAGTTTTGTATTAAACGTAGTTTATTTAAAGCGACCGCAACGGGTACTTGGTTTAAATCTTACGGGAATGCTTTGGCTTAAACTACAAAGATCACAAAAGTTGCTTCTATGTCTAGTTATTCTGCATCACGTCTACTTGCCTTAATGTCATGAAAAGGTTTTTGTCTGCTGTCACAAAAAGAAAACGCGAAAACTGTATTTGAGAAGCCCTCTTCCATTAAAATAGTTAATAAAATAAATACTCCAAATAATTGTATACCTATCTATATACCTATGTTTTTTTTAAACTTACTTGTTCGTGAACTAGATCGCATGACAATCGTATGTATACTATGGGAGCTATGATTATTTTTCGTAGAACGGGAGCTCATTTCGGGCTAAGCCTATTTTTTTAACGACTTTATTCTTATTGGACAATTTTATCCAGATCTATTCAGCCGTTCTGACGTAATAGAGTACAATTTTTTATAATGATTTTGAAATTATTTCAAATTTTTTGTTTCTTCTTCCGTTATTAAAATAAGGAAGTACCTAACCCCTTTCTTTCGTCAAAAGTTCATTACCCCGGAAGATAGAGTTGGACAGGTGCGCGGTCGATAATATCGATAAAAGAATCGATATGACGTCACGCGAGCTGCGTGCGCAGCTGTACAGCTAATTAAGTAGGGTGCAATATTAGGGGTGATAAACTCGTGCTTAGTACGCAAATGTAGTTTTTATTATAACAGGGGCCTGCTAACATTATTCTAATTCATCGAGAAAGTTAATAAACACCTGGCGTCAGATGGAAATATTATTATTCTGTATATGCAAATTAACATTTATATTCTATTGTAACTTTGTATTCAAATAATAACTTCTTCATCTTTGGTATTGTTCGTCGAATCGTTAAGCTCCTTAAGTTTTGAGTTGAGCTGCACGATTACTGACAAATGCGTGCACTGACTGGACAGGTCCACTCAATCTGTGTGGTTCTTTCCTCAAAAGACCATTTCAGACTGCAATCTACATGGTCTTCACATGATCTGACCAAGATTATGTTTGGACTTTAAAAGAGACTGTACCCTCTGAGTTTGTTTCGGCGTTTCTTCTCAGAGTAGTCAGATAGGAAAAGTCGAACTCATCTAGTTTTAAACAAATATGCTTGACGTGTAAAAGTGTTTGTACTAACCTACTTACAGAAAATAAATCATTTATCATTAACGAATTAAGAAGTTTAAAAATTAACTACCATGATTCAGTTAGGCTTAATGGCTTGAAAAAAGTAACGTTACATATCGATAAAGTATGTTATGTCAAAAATATGAAGGTTGGTAAAAAAAATTATTTGTAGTTAATTATTAAGTTCAACTTTGTCTCAGTCGATACTCGATAATCTTTAACGATTGATACTTGACAATTTTAAACATATGAAAGTGCTCATATCGATAAAATGTTAAATGAGATTCATCGATAAGCATTTGTTACAACCCTTTATCTAGGTCCCTTTCACGCCAGGTGCGACACCGGGCCCTGTGGCTTGTGCCATGGATAATGTTACATTATAAAAAGACATACTTTGTATGGATGTAGGGTTATTGACACTACTATGGCCTTTTCATAAAGGGTGGCGACCTGAAGACAATAGGCGCTAAGAAAACTTTGTAAAAAATGTTGCAATATAAGTTTTTGTACTTGATTAATAATATATATATGTATATACTAACATTATATATTTTTTGACTAAAATAGTAAGAACTAACATTATGGCCCTAAATTATTTTGTTAGCTGTCCCGTACAGCGTTATCAATTATCAAATTAAATTAACTGTGTACATATCGTTTTTTTTCGATTAGGCATTTAAGAAAAATCTTTTAATATTTTTATAAAACATATTATTAGAATGTTACTTCATTTTAATAATTAATGAATCTCTTTGTTTTTTTTTTAGAAATTTTAATTGAAATCAGGTCAAATCAAGTAAAACCAGTGTATTTAAAATGAGCAAAATTAATATTAAATAAAATTGCTTCTCAAATGGAAGTTCCTAGCTGAAAGTAGCCGAGTGACAGCGAACGAGGGCAGACCCCGTACTATGACAAAGGCATCGTTACTATAAAACAATTTTCGCTCGTAGTTCCTATCCATTGCTCTTTGCAACTGGAATCTTAAAAAAAGTAAGTCACATTAGCCAGCAATGAACTAAAAACGCCGATGTGAGATAGACGTATAAGAGTAAAAGCGCCACAGGGTAGGTTAAGGGTGCATTGTATAGTGTTCATGTCTCACGACCAGACTGAGAATAATGTTATTCTAGAATAAGTCGTGTGCAGTGTTTGTAGAGTTCAAATTTGTTTGCAGCAATACGATGTAGGACGTTAGGGTATAAAATAAGGGTGTTTGCAGGCGGACAGAGGGGAGCGCAGGGTGCGTGGCGCAGGCGTTGTTCAGTCGCCCGCGCGACCGCGCTGCTGCCGGCCGCGCGCCATGGATGAAGCCAGAGTTAGAGACCGCGCGCCGCTTACCGTCATAGTGGCTCCCAGCAACGCGTCCCCACCTCGGCTGTCCCCGGCGGATCTCCTCCCAGACGGTGACGCGGCCTTCCATCCACTTTCAGCAGTCAACGGTCGCCTCACACCGCCAGGCTTAGAGCCAGCGTCGTACGCCACATTAACACCCCTCCTCCCGCTCCCCCCTATCAGTACTGTATCAGATAAATTTGCCTATCATGCTGGTGGTACGTTCACGGTTATACAACAGCAGCATTCCTATGCGTCATTGTCCCCAGCGGCGTACAATGAGCCTTTGTCACCACAATCAGCGTACAGTAGGCGGAGTGCTTCGCCCAACTCGTTCGAAAGAAGATCCCCTACGCCACCTTTGCCCAGTCCAGGGCTAGATCTCAATGCGGCATTACTGGCAAGAGAAGAAGCCCAGCAGACACAACCGATACAATCGCCAGAATTGAATGATACGGAAGAAATAAATACGAAAGAATTAGCTCAAAGGATAAGTGGAGAACTGAAGAGGTATTCAATACCACAAGCGATTTTCGCTCAGAGGGTCCTCTGTCGGTCACAAGGAACGTTGAGTGATTTGTTACGAAACCCAAAACCATGGTCAAAGCTAAAATCAGGGAGGGAAACGTTTAGGCGGATGTGGAAATGGCTGCAGGAGCCGGAGTTTCAGAGAATGTCAGCGTTGCGACTAGCAGGTATGTCTGCATGACTGTAATACTTATTTAGATAAACACTAATTATAATTTATGCTATATCTTTCATTCTTATAGGCTCATTTTATAAGTTTACAAATTGGAAGTATTTTGATTTTCCTAATGTCATCTATAATAAAAACAATTAAAATTGTTTCATTATGTAAGTACAAGGATTCTATAAATCCCCTCATATGGTATTTTTAGTGATCTATTACTTATTAGAGACTTAGAAACTAATATTTACCGTTTTCAAAAAGGTTTTAATAATACCTTTTTGACAAACAAGATTTGTAAGAGGAAGACGCTTTATTTTGAAGTAATATAGGCTTATGGTTCATTATTTACAACCGACAATAAATCATATGAATTTGTTGTTTGTCATAACTCATAAGGCACAAAATATAAATTTTATTTTTTTCTTAGACTAACGAATAATATTCATACATACGCGTGTATCTTGTGTTGAAGTAGAAAATGTTATGTAGGGTTTTGTAAAATATCATTCGTTAACTCACTCATAATATGATCTAGAATAATTATTTTCTTTAGATTCATACATGTATCGTGTCTTGAAGTAAGATTTCGTCAAATATTATTCATTTACAAACGTTATTAACAGCGTTGTTAGACCTTTGAAGTCATTAAAAAACAGCATTAAGCGCTAACAAAGGATACCGAACCCCTTCCAGTCCCTTCACTATCCTAGTATTAAAATTGTGTCATTTCCTCCCCCAAGTAGGGTGCGTTTACAAACAAGGCAGACGTCAGCTGCGTTCATCGATTGTCGACAATCGATAGCGGTGGGGCCGCGCGGTCGATGTAGCACGTCACTAGCTTAGCGGAGAAAGCGATTGACGTATTTTTTAATGTTTGAGTTTAGTATATCAATCAGAGATGTATAAGATGTTAAATTGTTTAGAAATAACGTTAGCTGACTTGTGTTTAATCGCAAAACGCATTAAAAACAAAATTTTGTTGCAAAACAAATATTAAGATATATTGGCTAGATGCGAAAGCTAGCAAAGGATTATCTTATTATCTATATTTCCGTTGAATTGTTTTGTATATTTAGGTGTCCAGAGAAAAATTGCGAAAAATTTCTGCATTCATCGATCGAAAATAATCGATAGTACGTAATCGATGCTGACGTCACTAGTTCACACATCACAAACTGTATTGGTGTTAATTCATGTTTTCAGAGATTAAAAAGTATAAGAATAATATTTAGTTTTTTTTGTAGTACTTTGTATTAGTCTGTTTTTCTTACTTAAAGCAATATTTATTGCAGGCAAGTGGGTATACGCTATTTTTTTATCTACGTCACGGTTTATAGACTTTGTATACTTTTTTTAAGCTAAAATTCAAAATAATCTTTCTTAAAAAATCCAGTAGGTACCGCCGCGACTCGACTCTTTAAATTGATAGCTGTCCTATTAAGGGCGGAAAGGAGAGAAAAATCACTAAGAGCGAGGTCCGGTGAATATGAAGAATGTTCCATCAATTCGAATTCACGATTGGCAGACATGGCAATTCTGGACTTGTGCGAGTCAGACGCGCTGTTTCCTCACGCATCTTTTTTATTTGTCCTGCGGACAACGACCCCGTAATAGTGGCTCCATTATTAAACTATTCGATCATTAACACTCCTTGGCTGTCCCAGAAAAAATAGGCCAGATCTTGCCGGTGGATGGAATCGCCTTAAATTTCTTCAAAATTGCATATGACTATGGATGTACTGCTTTTTCGATTCTCGGTAATAACGGTGAAGCCATGTTTCGTCCATAGTTATTAATTGAGCCAAAAATCGGTCAAAATTTTGTTGTTTGTTACAACAAACGAAGTGTGCGCGCTGACACTTTTTCATACGCAAATGGTTATTGTTGAAATCTTCGTTTCTTCTGCTATTAAATAAACAATAATACGACAATCCGCTACGACTATGTTTTCAACTTTTTAAATCATTTGTTCAGTTACTACCGATGTCGAGCGTCCCGTGCCAGGGTCGTCGTTAATGGAAGGTCTTCCTCGCTTAAACTCGCACACCAACGCGCAACCATAGAATATAGAGGAGCATGAACCCCTTATGTTACTCTCTCTTGATTTACCAGATCCGCAGTAAATAAATAATCTTCAATTTTATCAATTTCTTAGAACGTGCCGACACGAGGCAAACTAATGAGTTCTATTTTTAAAAAACAAAAGAGAATTGATAGATTGTATTATAATTAAATCTAACGTCTGGGCTTTGCCTGCCAGTACTTGTTTTCTTTCTTTCCAAGGAGAATGTATTGTTTTACTACTAGATATTTATTGCACCCCTCGTATATTTTATCAGCTTGAATTAATATTAGGCTCACAAAGGTAATTACTTTTTCTTTCCATATAATTTGGTCACTTTACTAATGGTTGGTATAATCAGCAATTACTGTAGGTACGTTTTAAGTTGTTACGTATGTCTGTTTTTAAATATACTAGAGCAAGGAACAAGATTTATAATAAACTAGCAAATATTATTGTGTGTAATTATTAGAAAAGGTATACATTTTGTTACAGATTATAATATAAGTCTTTCATAATATATTATTAGTCTCTGACATTTTGACGACGGCGTGTGTCAGGCACTGAAGGATGATCACCTACTTGCCTATTAGATTCAAAAATGATCATGAAACAGATTCAGAAATCTGAGGCCAAGATCTAAAAGAGGTTGTAGCGCCACTGATTTTTTTATACCTACGATGCACCACCACTGTGGAACCCGTTGATCGGAGTATTTTCTGACCAATTCCGCTTAGATTTCGAGTGACTTAGGGTTAAAAAAAATCCGATTCTTAAAAAGCCGGCAATGCACTCGCAAGCTTTCGGCTTCACTTCTTGCCCTTAAGAAAGTCTATTCAGTGATGTTAATCGAGATCATTACAGTACTTTGAATAATAAATATAATTACCAAATAGTTACTCTATATTGGAATTCGACAAGCCAATAGTTACAGGAGTTGAATTGTTTTATGCAGTGAGGCATGTAGCGATGTACTAAATAACAAAATCATTCTAATACTAGCTGACCTGGCAAACGTTTTGCCATGTATATTATTTCTAGGAAACATTTATTTAGTTTAATAAAAATAACTATCTACTAATAAAAAATAGGGGTTGATCGTAGAGGGGTGAAAAGTAGGGATTGTATGTATATTTGTAGCATACCATAGCATACCGTATCATAAAAAAATAAAATATTTAAAAAATAAACAAAATTTAGGGGTTTAAAAGATAGATAGTAGCCGATTCTCAGACATACTGAATATGCATAAAAAAATTCATTGGGAACGAACATTGTGACACGAGAATTTTATATATTAGATAAACTGTATTCATAACAGAGATATAGTTGGGACAAAATTGGTCTAACGCTAGTCCCCACAATAGGGAGTCCCTGTGTTGTGATACTAGATAACAATTATTCTGTGGTATGGTGCACGTTTAAAACAATTGTTTAAAGAAAAAGTAGCTTAACGCCTTTAGTACACCTACGCGTTCGTATGCGGCTGCGAGTCTTTAAGAAATAATTGCGGTAGCGAAATATCTACGGAACGTTAGTACACAGCAGTTTTTTCGCAAGGAAATGTCATTGTAGCTTTATTTCTTACCATCTATCCCCGTCTTTTCTTGAATTTTCCTCCATGCCACCTCTTTTTTGTATGCATTTTTGTAATTAACATGCCCAACTAAATGTAATTCGGGATAATTTCGAATCAAATTTAATAATAATTCAATATTTTCGGCTTCCATTGTGCGAAATTCTGTCCTTACTGACAGAACGCGTGGTGACGCATTGCGATGCGAAACTCCGCTAGCGAAACGGCTGCGTCTGTGTCACAGCCATTTCGCAGTTACTTGCGAAACAATACCGACAAGGACGCAACTATTTCATCTAGCTATATAATAGAGCGAGACAAAACACATGCGAAACGTTGCCATACAACTTACAGTTTTTTCGTCGTTTCGCTGCCGCATGCGATTGCGTAGGTGTACTAAAGGCGTAAGTGTTACAACTAATCAAGTACAAGTCGTATGAGACAGTGTGCGTGTATGCATGAGTATGTGAATGGGTGTGTGTGCGTATGTAATTGAAAGTTTAGCTGAGAGATGTTATAAGCCGTCTGATGTTATAAGATGTCTGTTAGTTTTTGGAACCTCAGTCATGCCAAAATACGTAGGCAGGTAGATTTGAAATCCATTTGTTTTGTGAGTTTGTCTCTGGATAGTTTGACTATCTCAAAATCTATATATTGGGAGATTTTATTATAAAGGAAAGGGCCCTAAATGCAAGCGTTGGCCAAACACAGTTCTTCGTTATGGCTAATATAAAAACTTAAGTTTCAAAGGTTTCACTAGTCAAGTCAAAGGTGATGCAAATCTTAATTTTAGCCTTTTATTATGTTTTCTATATTTAATGTTATAACCTATACATACATATCAGGTTGTTGAAAAGTTGTACCAATTCAGGTAATTTATGGTGCTCGATTTTGGACGACCCTAAAAGCTTTTATATGTGACCCTAATTTCTTTAACCTGAAAATAAATGTGGCACAAAGCCCCTATTTTTGGTTCAAACATTTTTGGTAATTAATATTTGTCTCTGGTCAGTAGCATAACCATAGGCACTGAACCCATACATTGACGATCTGTGCATCTTGCAAGACATATCAACTGTCAAAACCTAAGAACAAGAATTAAAGCACACTATAATACCAAATGAAGGAAAATGTTGGCCCTTTATTTTCTTACGTATTTTATTATTGTCCTTTTTCGACATTTTTATCGATAAAAATTATATATATTTTTTTTAAAAGCGTGAAGCAGTCATTTTATGATTTAGCATTCTGATAAACAATAAACGCGACTGATTTGAGAGCGACCGCCGATGCGAAAACCGCTGTGTGAGTTCGAAGTAAATTACAGAATCGCAGGGCAGTTCTATAAAAAAGTTAAGTCCATTTAGCTTGAAGAGTACCAAGTAATACTCGTATGTACAATTTTTTTTTAAACTGATAGATAGAAACTCCTTGATAATTCATAACTTGTTAAAAATTATTTGATATGTGTGTTTTCACTGATTATATTTTTACAACCGTTTATCATATTAAAATTTAGGTACCTATTGTCTGGTATAGTCTTAAAATATTTTTGAAGTAATACTTCTTTAGGCGCATTATGAAAAATTGATGAGAGTGAAATTTTACGATGCGCGCGCACCGTGACACAAAATTAACAGAATGAAGTTGCCCACGGAAGATGCTACGGCATTGGACATAATTTAAAAACAACATTCGAATAATACAATAATTTATGTTACACTTAATGTAAGAGAATAATAATAAATCTTTATTTATTTAATTTTTCAATTGTAAACTGAACTTTATTGACTATAATGTCTCCTTTTCCAGTTTTTGATTATTTAATTATAATGAATTATTTGCATGCATTTAATACCGTATTGGTTTTGACTGAATGACACTTGTAAAAGCTGTCAAAGGAAACAAGGAATCCTATTACCGCTTCAATAATATTTACTACAATTAATATGAGTATAATGTCACTAAGAATAGTTCTCATTATCTCTAAAAAACGAACCCTATGACAACGTTACGGTAACCCTGTTACTTACAAGTTTTAACATTAAAATTATTACGAACATTTCCACTATGTAACCAAATATTCAATCCTAGGACAGCTAAATTCTACGTGGAGCAAACCGCGTGGTCCCCCCTCCCCGCACGTGTGACGTCACAACAGTATATCGATCGTTTTTCCCCTCCCCTCCCGCTGTAGACCGTTCTAGTGCTATGTAGGTATTTGGGGTCGCGTGGGGTTTTACCTTCTGATTATTTTTTAACTTAACACATTAGCATTCTAAGATATAGGTTGAAATTAAATGCTATAAAACAAGAAATGTTGTTTGTAAAATTTTGTAGTAGATATTAGGAAAAGTCAGCGTTTGATTTTACTTAATAGATCTGATTGAACTTATCTCTTAATAGGTCTATTTAAATGGATATAGGTAACAGACGTGTAATTGTATAGTAGATCTAACTATATCTACGAAGATATATTCGCTAACGATATAGAACCAACCTCCACTATTTACCAACTAATGAAAAATTTTCAGATAACCCAAGTCAGCAATCGGTAAAAGGCGACAATGTAAACAACATGCAGCCGCAGAATTACGGCCCCAGGGAGTACGCTCCTCTGCCCCAGAGCCCCGAAATGTACCCGGGGCCCACGCCCCATTGGGACCCACCGGCATACGAACCTGCCGGGGAATTTTCTTGCTTGTGAGTCCTTCCCCAATGACTTAACTCCTGGAACTTCCCGTTAATCCTTTGAATCGTGAATTTTATTTTCACCCATACAATGGCCACGTTATTTTGATCGTAAATAAATTTTATTTCAATAAATTTGTTTATTTAATGATTCGTTTGAAAGGTTTTTCATTCCCCTTCCTCTCTCCTTCCCGGCTGAGTAGCAGTGGACTTGGTTTCTTTTAGGTATATAACTATAGCTTGTCGCAAAGGTAACAATATTATACGTATATATTTTGTTTAGAAACGTCCGCTTTGTGACAAGTTTGAATTAAAAAGATGTGTACATCATAGATTTTGCCCTTTATAGATGTTTTATTTGGATAGGCAGTATCCTTTCCGTTTTGTTTCCTCCGGTAATGGTACTGCCTTTATGTTAAATAGTGTTTATTTTATAGCAGTAGGTAAGTGTGTTTGTTAGCTTCGAGAAGCCAAGATATTTGTTAGACTGCTACCGCTGCCCCTCCCTCCATTTTTATTTTTCCTTCGCCCGGGCTGTCTTAGTTTTTGATATATGATTTCTAGGTGCCTGCGAGATAAGACCTTTTTTAATGTTGTTTACATTGTCGCCAGGTATGCGAATTTTATTACGATAGATAAGCATCAATATGGCTTATAGTGTTATGTTAGAGGGAAATATAATGTTAGTGCGTCTTAAAACTTTGCTAAAATTACTTAGAGAAGTTTTTTGATGCACCCACGTACATTTTGATATTGTGTAATTTTAAACGAATTCGGTATAAATAAATGCCTTCATTATGTATTATATATTTAACATACACATACAATTATATATTCTATCAGTCAATGAAGGTATTTATTTATTAGCAGCATGATTGTCGTCCTTAGAAATCCCAAGGGCTTGATGTGCGATGGTCTTAGACAACATTTATTCGTTTGGTGTAGATAATACAATGTAATATTTCTTTTGTTTCAGCGGCCCAGATTCCACAGAGAGGCAGTGAGTATAATTTTGTGAGCTTGTCCCTAATTTTCCTTGTTTAAACTTTTGAAGTGTTTAGGCCAGATTATGAGTATTGGGAAGGAATTTACCTAATAACAATCAGCATTTGCACAATAGTCAACTTTTCTACCGGCAAATATACAAACATTTGAAAAGTAAATAATATAACTTTTAAACGATTCTCACGAGACAAATAATATGTTAGTCCATCATTTGAATGAGCTCAAAAATCCAGAGCTAATTGATATTCCTATGCAAGTTCTTCATTTGTTTTTGGGTTATTTCTGATAAAGATATTTCAACTAAAGAAGGATCACTACTGCAACTCTCATTTCTGTGCATTCAACACTCGCTTGAACGGTGACGTATTTTACTTAAAGAAGATTCAAAAACTTGACAGACAGACGGCTATTACAAAATAAAAAGGATCAGGATCATACAGAAATCTAAAGCCTGAGGTTTTTTCTATCTGAATTCATTTCTCGCATTGACTTAATTAAGTTACTCTTTTTCAGGCTGCAAGCGCAAGGAGGATATAGTTTCGGATACCCATCATTCACAGAAGAAGCCGCGTTTGGTTTTCACAGACCTCCAGCGGCGTACTCTACAAGCTATTTTTAAGGTATTGATTTTATATACAAGTATATAATGTTCTATTAAGTATTTTCCAGTGAACCTATGTATACATGCCCAATAGTAGAATTGTTCTCTTCATGATGTGGTCAACTAGTTAATGAAGGTTTTAATAATAGCTGCCACTGCGAACTTTGTTTCGCCTTAATATGATACTTTTCTTAGCCTACATTATAAGTAGCTACTTAAGTTCTTCCCCATAGAGGCTTTTCCGGAATATAAACCTAAATGCTTAATAAAACTAAATTTTTCTATTATATTTTCCAATTACTCGAAATGGTCCTGCCATCTTCAAGTTTTGCGCTAAGCAACGTGTCGCGCGATTCACTTTTATTTGTATAGATAAAAGGGATAATTGGCCATAAAATCTGGAATGAGATTTATGTTTTAATCTTTCACCAATTAATCAAAACAATATGAGAGTAGTGTTGGCCTAGTGGCTTCAGCGTGCGACTCTCATCCCCTCAGTTCGTAGGTTCGATCCTCGGCTGTGCACCAATGGACTTTCTTTCTATGTATGCATTTAATATTCGAAGGAAAACATCGCGAGGAAACCAGCTGATGCCTAGACCTAAGGTTGTAGCGCCACTGATTTGTTGATTGTTTAAACAAAACAATACAGTGTTTTTAATTGTGTCTTTAATAGCAGAATTCACTAGAAAACTCTTTTCACACAGCGCATCCATAGAATTGCGCTAATGGCAGAACTGGGTGAAGTTCTAACTGAAGCCGTGGAGTTACAAAATTGCACCTGTAATGTCGAATATTATTTCATTACAATCAAGTCACTATATAATAGCTGTTTATATTTGTTGATCTGGCTAGATTATGAAGTGTTTATTTCTACGCTGGGTCTATGACATTACTAAAACACTGATTGTGTCGTATGACAATATTTAAATCGTGCTTTTTAAATCTTCAAACTCATGTTTGGTTCTTTCATAAATTCATTCAATTTTAAGCCTTACAATGGTGTTTGTTTTTGTCTGGCTTTATTATGAAGTGTTTATTTCTCCTGGTTTTTACTAAAACACTATTGTGTCGTTGACAATATTTAAATCGTCTTTTATCTATCAAACTCATGTTTGAGTTCAGATTTCCTAAATATCTTACAATATCTTAAAGTCCTTACAATGGCTGTTTGTATTTATTGATCTGGCTTGATTATGAAGTGTTTATTTCTACGCTGGGTCCATGACATTACTAAAAATGTTGTGTCGTATACAATATTTAAATCGTCTTTTTAAATCTTCAAACTTGTTTGTTACAATTTGCACATGAAATATCATTACAATATCTTAAAGTCGCTATACAATGGCTGTTTGTATTTATTGATCTGGCTTGATTATGAAGTGTTTATTTCTACGCTGGGTCCATGACATTACTAAAACACTGATTGTGTCGTATGACAATATTTAAATCGTGCTTTTTAAATCTATCAAACTCATGTTTGAGTTACAGATTTGCACATGAAATATCATTACAATATCTTAAAGTCGCTATACAATGGCTGTTTGTATTTATTGATCTGGCTTGATTATGAAGTGTTTATTTCTACGCTGGGTCCATGACATTACTAAAACACTGATTGTGTCGTATGACAATATTTAAATCGTGCTTTTTAAATCTATCAAACTCATGTTTGAGTTACAGATTTGCACATGAAATATCATTACAATATCTTAAAGTCGCTATACAATGGCTGTTTGTATTTATTGATCTGGCTTGATTATGAAGTGTTTATTTCTACGCTGGGTCCATGACATTACTAAAACACTGATTGTGTCGTATGACAATATTTAAATCGTGCTTTTTAAATCTATCAAACTCATGTTTGATTACGATTTGCACATGAAATATCATTACAATATCTTAAAGTCGCTATACAATGGCTGTTTGTATTTATTGATCTGGCTTGATTATGAAGTGTTTATTTCTACGCTGGGTCCATACATTACTAAAACCTGATTGTGTCGTATGACAATATTTAAATCGTGCTTTTAAATCTATCACTCATGTTTGAGTTACAGTTTGCACATGAAATATCATTACAATATCTTAAAGTCGCTATACAATGGCTGTTTGTATTTATTGATCTGGCTTGATTATGAAGTGTTTATTTCTACGCTGGGTCCATGACATTACTAAAACACTGATTGTGTCGTATGACAATATTTAAATCGTGCTTTTTAAATCTATCAAACTCATGTTTGAGTTACAGATTTGCACATGAAATATCATTACAATATCTTAAAGTCGCTATACAATGGCTGTTTGTATTTATTGATCTGGCGAGATTATAAAGTGTTTATTTCTATGTTGGGTCCATGACATTACTTACATTTAATTAATTTAAATCGTGCTTTATTAAATCTATTAATGATGCTATCATATCTAATTCCAGGAAACAAAGCGACCCTCAAAAGAAATGCAAGTCACGATAGCGAGGCAATTAGGTTTAGAGCCAACGACCGTAGGTAACTTCTTCATGAACGCACGCAGAAGATCCATGGACAAATGGAGAGACGACGACATACCTTCCACAGAGTTGGACCAGCAGTGCGATCCAAATGATTTGGATCACGTACCCAGTTTGGACTCGGCAGAGTCAGAGGAAGATCACGACGACCAGGACGATCATCTCTTGTGACGCAATATCCACTCACAGCATTTATTAGTGCTTTGAGAAGATTTAGTGGAGTATAAGGACACTGCAATAACGCTGAATGATCAGTGCTTTAAGAATTCGGGTAACTGCTTTGTTTTTCTATCGAGAAATGATAAGTTGTAAAAATCACTGTTTAAATTGCTCTTGCCCAATGGAACGGTCAGGAGAGTTTCAAAGATTTATCAGGTAACTCTTGCTGAGGTGGATTAACTACTACATTGTCTAGTCAGCAACGCTTAATTATATTACCACTATTGTTTACCATACTATATAAAGCGCTTACTAGTATTACCGTGTTCGTTACCATGGTTACCATTTTTTATATGAAAATCCAGTCACGGTAACAATACGTTATTAGTTTACGTGTAATTCGGCCGCCACCTCACATCCAAAGAACATTTTATATCAAAATTTTACAGTATAAAGTTTGGGAAATTTGACAACTTAGCATAGCTTGAACCGTTTTCTATTGACGTCATCTCTTACCTTCTGTTATAGGTAAGTTATTGGGATTCGCTATCAATTGTACAGATATATATATAAATGATCTCCAGTCGATTGTTCTAGTCACATAATGTTTAGTTTACATTGCTAGAAAAATTTATTTATACATTGACGTTTGAATTCACTTTTATTTCTATTTAGTCATACCAGCCGTAATGTTTACTCTCTTAATTGATAGATGCGGTCATTTGTCTATATACATATAACTTATCTATGTTTCAGTAAATATATGAACCATATAACATTTGAATTTGTTTACATGTCTTTCTTAAATGAAATAATAACCACTTTAGACTTGAGATAAGCAAAAGCTCGCGTAGGTTGTAGTCCAAAAGAGACAATCTAGTCATAAGCATTGTTAACAATGTACAACAAAACAAATTCTTGATAAATTTACGTAATAAAAACCAATCTTAAAAGCAGGCTATTACAAATTACGTGCCAGGAACTATATATAGAATCTCCTTTCATTGAAGAAAAACTTCTCAGAGGTAAACATTATGGCTTTGCAATAAAAGTTTATGTAAGCCTACAAAAATATCCTTCCAGAAGCAATATTTTACCTGTGAATTCAAATGTTAGGCTTGTTAATAACTTGTGCAAAACTGATCGGTATTTAAATCTTTATATTGAAGTTTTGTACCGAAAAGTTTTTCCAATAATGTTCTTGACTTAGCACTTGCAACAACGCTTTTCGATTGCTTTAGTAAAAATATCCGATTTGATCGGATCAAAACAGTATTACTTGTCAAAATGTACAGAAGTCACAGCATATTTTGTGTATGCGCACTTTAAAAACAGATATTTAATCTTTGCAAGGTATTTTGTTTATAAAAGTTAGAGATGTAAGGAGTATTCATATTTGCTTATACACGATGATGTTCATATGTAAGAATAAATTATAATGAAATAATTGTCGTAGTAATTAAGATGTTTTTATATTGTTAGTGCGTTACCCTTAACCGTATGAAATGCCAATCGCCTAACTAACACTAACCTTAATTTATGAACACGAAATAAGTCTTACAAATGCAATATCTGAACTTTATTTGTGCTTTTCAGTCGTTATAGACCGTTTTATATAAATTATTTAATATCTTTTGTACATATTGACAAAGTATTTCTAGTCAAAAGATCTCTATAACATTCCAAAGGACGAAGCGTAGAAAATTGTGCGTGATATTACATACAATTAATTAGTATAAGCTTCATTATATATAAGGGAAATGAGAAATCTAGTCCGATTGTGCAAACGTAGAGTTGGAAGCTTTACTTATGTATTAGATAGTATTGCTCATAAATTACAAATTCTAGTCCATTTTGTGTTAGCAACAAATTAAAGAGATTCATAATTCGTGTCGAAAAATTAGCAGATTTGACATTACAGAATTTTGTTAAACAGTGTTTAATGATTTTTGATATGACTGCAAGACGATTTTCTATGGTATATATAGAAATGTTGTATGTTTATCTTAACAATGGAATCAATGGAAGCAATAAAAAAAAACGACGGGTTGCACTCCGAGAGTGCCGGCAGAAGTGAAAACTTAAATATTAACGTTGTGCATTTTTGATATTTTGGAATGGTTAGAGAATAATTTTGCACGAATTGCTTTAATTATCATTATAAAAGTACTATCATTTATGTGGTAGAATACAATATTTATTTATTGCGCTATCGTACACAAACATGACAATTTATATTACATTAAATACGCCGCGCCAGCTGTCTACAGGTCAGTACTCACATACGGTATTACTCGATAGTTTTACTCGAAGTCAAGTAAAAATCAACGTGTGGACCGCAAAACCGAGCCGGCTCGATAGAATTAAATGAAAGTAATTTCCTTCGAACCTACTCGAAGCGAGCCGTCAATCTTGACTCGAACGTGTGTACGTGACTGCGAGTGGCGCGCCGCGCGAGGCGAGCGTCAGTCTGGTATTGTTTATCGTGATTGAAACACGTGTTTTTAAGAGAAATGGATTTTTAAGTAAATTCCAAAAGCGCTATAGAAGACTTTATTAACACATATAGACAGTGTGTGAGTGTTTATGGAATGTCAATTCCAACGATTACTCCCACAAAAATAAGAGAAATGAATGTTATGAAAAATTACTAGCTGTGCTTCAACGTTTTTTCTTTTCATTTTCTTTGATTTTCTTATAAAGCACTGTGAGACTTGCTAAATACAGCTACCGTCTCCTTTATTGCACAGACATCCTTTGGCTCGAACGGTTCGGTGAATAGTGAACGGCGCGCCTCACTCGATAGATCAATGCTCAATGTGTGGACGAAAGCCCATGCCATGGGTTTTACTTGACAGTTTATCTTGATCGAGTAATACCGTCTGTGAGTACTGACCTTACTCTCCATCCGTCTTACGAATTTTCGATCAGGTCACGTGTCCTGACGCGAGTTTATATTTTTTACCCATTCCATCAAAAACGTATAACGCCGCTAAAGAAGTTTTCACTTCAATAAACTTAATTCCATGTTCTTATTAATTGAGAGTAAAAAATTTCTCCATAAGCTGGAGCTTAAATGAAATGGAGTAGAATTTGTAACATTATCACGAAGACTTCGTAAAGCAAAGTAGATTAAGAATAATTTTGTTTATTTAAGATTAGTTAAATAAATTTTAATGTTATTTGTATAATAAGTTATTTATTTTATTCATAGTATTTTTACGCATTTGCAATTCATACAGCTCAGTATGTACCAAAGAAATGTGCAATTTCTTTAATTATAAGTAAATCTATGAGTTAATTGTACGATATTTTCGTAATCATTATAATATATAAACCCTGAAACAATTCGTTATTTGGCCGGCTATTTCTACAAACAGTGTATCGTATTATATGTCGCAGCCAACTATCTTAGTTAGCCGTTTAATCAACAGCCTAGCCACTTTACTAAACAGCGCCGTTTAACTAGCAGCCTGAACTATATACAGCCATAGCATTTGTTACAACATTTAATAAAGTGGCTGGCTAATGCTTAGGCGTCATACGATCACATAACAGAAATAAAAAAGCTGAAATATCGGACATAATAAATTCTTTATTTAATATATTTAAAATATAACTTATTAGAGTTTTTACACTTACGGTTAGTGCTACTACACACTTCCATACAATTTTTCCAACTTTGGAAAACATCATCAAATTTGTTGTTTGCCGGTAGGCAAGTATTATGTAACGTTATCGAATCAAGTAGTTTGCCTAGCTGTTTCATCAAATGGTTGAATATCATTCAGGCCGGCAGTTGAACAGCGCTGTTTATTAAAGAAACTAGGCTGTTGATTGAACGGCTAATTAAGCTAGTTGGCTGCGACATATACATACTAACAGTTTAATATCCTATTTAATGTTTTATTATATGTATTAAATTCCGAATCATTCAAAGGCGCACAAGGCATATAACTAATCCATACAAATACTTCTATACTACTCGTAAGTACCTACTATCAATTATCGAGATGTACTCGCGTGTTTCAGCGTCCTTTTGTCCAATCAGGACAACTGTGACAGGTTTTGCAATTTTATCACTATTAGGTATGAGCAAAATTTCATAAAATGTAATTTTTAAGATTATTTCGTAACATTTTTGTTTACCATTTATTGACTGCATTTTATTGTACGAAAGAACGTTTGTTTGGACAGATTTATAATTTTTAAATCCATATTGTACTTTTCTAGTCAAAAGAAAAATGTATTATTATAAACTGTAAATTTTGTGCAAATACAATCTTTTTAATAAGTGTCAACGATGTAACTTAACTGTGAAGTCGGAAGTTACATCCCGAGTTACACTCTATTGAGAAATTATATTTATTTTTGACAGAATGTCCTGTAATAATTTATATATGTGGATGAGTGAGTATATTCATAGTGCGCTTTCCATTCCATTTGTACATAGAACGTAATTGGTGTAAGAATAAATGTACATTTTATAAAGTGAACTCTCTTTTCTTCCCATTGCTTCTGTATTCAAATTCAGTGGAATACGTGGCAATATGAAGGTCCTTTCAAAATCAAAACTCAAAATAACTTTATTCATATAGGTAACCAAGTATACTTATGAACGTCAACAGAAAAGATACTAAGTTAATTCTAAATTTATGTTTACTACCAGTACAATCAAGGGCGTAGAGCGGGCGAGAAGAACTGGCAAGAAACTCTCCGCCATTCGTTTTAATCGCCAAGTTTTGAGTCATACAAATTGTTTTTAAGCCAGACCAGCCAGAAATATTTAAACTGGAGTAACTCATTCCCAAAGATCATTTAAATAATCGTCAAATGTATAAAAAGCTTTATTGATTCATTTACGTTTGACGCGAGTTTTGAATTTATTCAGTGGTAATTCTCTAATTTCGCTTGGGAGTTTGTTGTACTAATACTTAATAGCACTTTTGTGCTAATAATGTGATAAATCGCAGAAGCTTCTTTCTATGTGCGCAGTTATGATAATAACTGAAACAGATATACTGGCAAAAGTATAAGGGCCTAATACGCAACAGGCATTTTTGTTATCTTTATTGAATTGTAATACACTACAATATAATAAATAAAATTGCAATTACTCCTACGTGTTGAGGTGACTATTCCTCGGTACTTATTTAAATAAATGGCAATACAAAAGGCGGGCATGTAGGTGTACCTAACGAACCACTAAAATATTTAATAATTGTACTAGAAACAAAACAAAGCCACACATGCCACCGTCCATCTCATCTAAGCCTCGTAAAAAATAAATTGTTATTCACAGAGCCAACTGTACCTAAATTTTCAATAGCACCGCATCTTCAAGGCCCCAGGGAGCCACTGTCCCTAATGGGGCAGCACGTTATCAGACGCATAGGCGTATGACTTATCTTAGATTGTATTAAAGCCGGTTGCAGACCGAAAACTAAGCTATGCCAAGGCTAAACTAAGCTATGCCAAGCAAGCTAGGCTAAGCTAAGCTAGAAATAAATAGCGTGCACACCAACAGCTAACCCAAAGCTCAGTCAGTGTTGCATACTATGTGCAAAGGGTTTGCCGGGTAGCGGGAGGGGCTTAGCTTAGCTCGTGTAGCTGCGCATCGGCATACACAACTAACTTAGCTTCGCATATTTTAGTTAGCTCACATAGCTTAGTTCGCATAGTTTGCGGTCTGCACAGACGTATGGAAAATTGCGTCAGCTATGCGAGCTAAGCTAAACTAACGTAGCTTAGCTCTTGGTCTGCAACGCGTATTAAAGGCAATAAAGGCTTTACCGAGATTTGTACTGCAGTCTACCTGCAGTTTTATGGAGCAAACGAATTTCACTGTGAAGACTGGGTTACTTTAGTGATGCGTGGGTCTATTTTTCTGGCTTCTTTTATTGGCTTCTGAACTTTGACTGAGTTTAAATGTTATACTATACTAAATGATTATATTAGGTCCTTACATATGAAATTGGCGTTTTGTATGGGAGAAACAAAAAGTCGAATATTTTTAAATATAATATATTTAATTAATCAAAGTATGAACCATTGTTTTCTATGCACTTTTGCCATCTCATAGGTAGTTCATTGATCCCTTTACTAAAAAAAACAGTCGGACGGGAATCAATAAAATCTGTGAAGGCGATTTGGACTGCCCCATCAGAGTTAAATTTTTTCCCTTGCAAGAAGTTGTCCAAATTTCGAAAAAATTGTAATCTGACAATAGACATCAGCCGTAATAGTCTGGGCAGATTTGAGAAAACTGCAATGAACAATACCAGCACTAGTCCACCAAACGCTTACAAGTAACTTTTTTGGGGATAATTTTCGCTTGGGGCAGGATTTGGCTGGCTGGCCAGGATCCAGCCATTGCGCTGAGCGCTTTCGATTATCGTAAAGAATCCATTTTTCATCACAGGTAATGATTCGGTTTAAAATACCTTCATTATTGTGCCGGTTCAGTAATGTAACGCAGCAGTCGACGCGCGTTTGCCGGTTTGCTTCAGTCAATTCGTAAGGTACCCATCTTTCAAGCTTTTTAGACTTCCCAATTTGCTTCAAGTGAATTAAAACAGTTTTATCACTAACACCGCAGCCTGCAGCTAACTCGGACGTGGTTTGCGATGGATCCGCTTCCACAATAGCCTTCAATACTTCATTATCATCTTGGGCCGTCCACGGGGCTTGTTCTGCAGGTCGAAATTTCCAGAACGAAAACGTTGGAACCGACCGCCATACACATCATTCACCCTTCGAGTCGTTTCCGCAGCACTAGTGCCACGGCGGAACTCGTACTCGTAAATAATGCGATACTTTAAGTTTTCCATTTTGTAAAATGAGTGACGCAAACAGAAAAAAAACAAAAGAAAAAACAAATGAATGACGGTCATCGAAGCACAAATACATGAGTAAATAGCTGTACAAATTTGAATTTGGAATTCCTTACCAAAGAGGAGAACATCGTGATTAAAGTGGCCAGTACGAAATACGCCAATTTCATATGTAAGGACCTAATACTTGTCAGCGTTGACCTGTAACGATTTGCACTGTATCCTTTCAGGACAGGATACTTCTTATTTTGTGTTGCGGGTGGGTTCAGTGGTAGTAGTTAGCTGTGGGGTTTAGAAAGTTTTCTCTCTATATTATGTATCATATTCGCGAGGTGAACATGTTAAAAAACATTGGTTGTCTTGATTATAGCGCCATCTTGTGTTGGGTCAGAGAAATATGTGTTATTCATAACTTTCAAGTATTGCGTAGGGGTTAAGTTTATAGCGACGCTGGCGATAAAGCGATGGTTCAATGATAAATCGCTTGCAATTAAAAAATATGAAATTTCAATGCATATTATTAATGCGTTTAACAATAACAGACAAACTGGCCAATACTTTAATTTTCTAAACAAAATAATGAATGTTTAACATCTATCAATATTTTGTCCTTAGATCGAAATGAAAATGGCAATGGGTATATTATGTTGTTGGTCTGAGCGACAATAGATTCTTCTATATGCGAAGTTGAGGTGCACTTACTCGTCCGATAAAGGAATACATTGCGATGAAACTGTCATTAAACGACGCGCCAGCCGCAGAAAGTTAGTGAAAAAAAAGTCAATAAAATATGCAACAAATTTGAGCAGCAAACCCATAAAGGGTTGTGCCATGGCTCTATTATGAACAACTGCCCCATGGTGGCTTACATTTGTTTTCCCGAAAAAAATGTTTTTCTTTAGAATAGAACCCAGGACTCCGGGTAAAATACCATGAGTAACCAACCTACGGAGGTGATATCGTCCTACGATAACAAATCTCTCTTTTATTTTTACTTGAAACAATGTACTCAATTATTTTACGGTTTAAAAATACCAAACTTTTATAATTGATAAAATCTTGAGGGTTTAAACTTGCTTAAAGAGAGAGAAAAAAGAAAAACAGGTGCCCTAATTCTAATCGATGCAATTGAAAGAACGTAATAACTCTCAAGCCGGTCATTAGTGCAATCAATTTTCAACATAATGCCACCCCTATGTCGACCTACTTCAAATAAACGGGCCAAGAAAACACAACCTCGCTTAAGAATTAAGAGTACCTTCGACGTAAAGCCTTTAGCAGAGACAATAGCGCTTTAAAAAAAATATATTTTAAAGTGAAAAACATACAAAAGGTCGCTTAAGCTTAAAGATGTGTGATAGAGATAGAGCTTTCGCGATTGATAGGCGTGTAAGAAGGATGGACGGATGAAAATCAATTTATTGACTGTGACGTCACGGCTTGCACATGCGTGTTTATGTCGGTCCCCGGGTAGAGTTGCCAGTGGTTGAAATTTCTTACATGTGACAGGAATATATCATACTTATATGCCATGTTACACTTGTTTCTATTTAAATTTATCTTTAAAACTAATCAAACCTACTGATTTCTTGGTGATTGATTGGTTGTCTTAAAAAGGCTTTTCTCAATGGGCATAACTTCGACTTACAGACTTGATTGTCTTTTTAACATTACGTGACTTGTTTTTTAGTTATATTAGTCAGTCGACGAAAAAAGGGATTTTATTTAATTACAAAACGTATGTCTGTAATGAAACAATACTTTTTCAAAATGATTCTATTATTTTAATATAATATTGGCGACTTCAAATGTCCAGATACTAGCAACACTCGCTCATCTGGGCGGGCTCCCGAAATAGCGCCACGAGGGGGGCACGAGCCAGTAGAGCGGCGACGGTGGCGCCGAAAGCACGTGATGGCGTCCGTCGCCGCATGGTTGCCTTTCGCGCGCGCCGCGGCCATCGGCTGGGTCCCTATAGCCACACACCCCCTTCCCCCCCCCGCCGGTGCCCAAAGACAGGCGCCGTGCTGAGGATGAAAAGCTTCTCATTAATGTCTCTGGACGACGGTTTGAAACCTGGAGAAACACCCTGGAAAAATATCCAGACTCACTTCTTGGCTCCTCTGAACGAGAGTTCTTCTATGATGAAGACAGCCGAGAATACTTCTTTGATAGAGACCCTGATATATTCAGACACATACTCAATTACTACAGAACAGGAAAGCTACACTATCCAAAACATGAGTGCTTAACTGGTTATGATGAAGAGTTAGCGTTTTTCGGCATTTTGCCCGATGTTATTGGTGATTGTTGCTATGAAGACTATAGAGATAGGAAACGAGAGAATGCTGAGCGTCTTATGGATGACAAGCTCAGTGAAGCTGGCGACCAGAGTCTGCCACAGCTTACAGATTTGCGGCAAAAGATGTGGAGGGCGTTCGAGAACCCTCATACATCAACTGCTGCTCTAGTATTTTACTATGTTACCGGATTTTTCATTGCCGTCTCAGTTATGGCGAACGTAGTGGAAACAGTTCCCTGCGGACATCGGCCAGGTCGCGCAGGAACCTTACCTTGTGGAGAGAGATATAAGATAGTGTTCTTTTGTTTAGACACAGCCTGTGTCATGATTTTCACTGCTGAATATTTGTTGAGGCTGTTCGCAGCGCCAGATAGATGCAAATTCGTTAGATCAGTAATGTCGATCATTGATGTGGTGGCAATTTTGCCATATTATATTGGATTGGGGATTACTGACAACGATGATGTGTCAGGAGCCTTTGTGACCTTGAGAGTGTTTAGAGTGTTCAGAATCTTCAAGTTTTCAAGGCATTCACAGGGATTACGTATCTTGGGTTATACTTTGAAGTCATGCGCCAGTGAGCTGGGATTTCTGGTCTTTTCCCTGGCGATGGCCATCATTATTTTTGCGACTGTTATGTTCTACGCTGAGAAGAATGAACAGGATACCAACTTCACTTCCATTCCTGCTGCTTTTTGGTACACCATTGTCACCATGACTACACTTGGGTGAGTTTGTTTTTGTTAAATATTATGTAGTCTACAATTTGAAAATTTTATGTATATTATTGTCAAAAAATTGGCTATGTTCCAATATAATTTTCTGCGAAGTTATTTGTTTTGTCTATTTTTTGTATTATTGTGAGATAGAAATATGTAAAAGCAGTGAATTTTCGCAAATATTGTAATTCCAAGCTGCCACCTGTCGCCACGTTTATATATTAAACTGTCATGGCGGCCAAGGATTTCCCTCCATAAATTGATTCTGCTTAAATATTAATAAACGCGCAGATTGGTTGCGTATTGATGCGACATTTTGTTCGACAATTTATTTATTTAATTATATTTTTAATAACGTAGTAGTAAGTTTATTACAGATAATCGTCATTTATCGTAGTATTTTCATAAACAGGTGAAAATTTTTAATATAATTTTAATTTTAAAATCGTCTTTGTTCAATTAGTGTTAGATATTTACAATTTACTGGTTCTTCGGATATTAAGATATTTTTCGCACAGAAGCCGAATCTAAAAAAAACACTTTTATAAAAAAAAAATCACAGCAGGGTTGTATCAACTAACGTAACATCATACAATCCTTTTGTTCCATTTATACAAATAATATTTGCCCAGCTAAAAATGTTTCGGTTTACGTTTTGGCCGAAATTTTGTCAAATCAAAAGAATCGTGTCAATGAGATTTTTCATCCCTTTTGTTACTTTGATGAAAACATTCGGATATGGAAAAGGGCTCTGTGGAAAGAGCTTCGCTGTATCTGCGCCCAATGGTTGTCTGGTTCCGTTTGTAACTAAAAAGGAAGGTATATATATATAAATCAAGGGTCTTATTAATTACGATACACAATAATAAAATCGTTTATGCTCAACACTAATAGCTGCTTGGTGTTCTGTTTGATTCCAGACTTTAAAACATGTCAGTCAATCAATCTAAAAAATCAGGTTAGAAATTTAAAAAAAAAAACACTATGAGCTACAAAATGATGTCACTATAAAATATCATCAAATCTAGATAAAATAAGAATATGGTATAATTATGTAGTGAAATGAATTCAAGAAATGCTATTCGTATGTACTAGCATAATAAACAATGGACTTACCAATATAGTCACTGCACTTTTTATTTTTGAAGAATTCTTTTCAGTCGTGTTCATTGAATAAATAAATTTAATACTTAAAATACATTATGGTATGGTATATATGGTGCTCAGAAATTGTTACTTAATTAGGGATAAATTTCCAGTATAAGGTTAAATTACCATTTTCCGCTTCTGATTAAACATATGAAGTTTAATAAGTTAGCAATTAATTCATATCGAATTCTTTCGTTCAACTTACCTCTTAATAGACTCTCAGGGCAATTCAGAAACGCTTGGCTCTAAGTATGACTTCTAGGGGTAAGACTTAGAAACGAGACTTAGCTTGAACTATGGCTCCTATCAATATTCAATACATTGTTGACGTATGAAAGACTCTGAACTTTATAATCATTAACTAATCTTTGCATAGATAATCCTTAACTGAACAATTGGGCTATCTTTATTTTACGAGAAAAGTGGATTTGTCTAAACATCCGAGCTACGCAAGGAACGTACACAAAAGCTTTCTTTGTCCTTTACCATTGAATTTAAAGAAACCCAAACGTTTGCAAGTCGAATCAGCTAAGTAATTAGTGGTATATGACCCTCGAAATACGGTCGGACCTTTCTGAAATTTATAAAAAGGTTCTTTAATATGCGTTTTTAACTAACAAAATGCTCTAAGGTTCTTTCCAAGATTCCATAAGAATCTTCATAACCCATATTCCGCCCGTATCTCAAGTCTTTAACTCGTCTTGAGCACTGTCAAATAATATGAAGTTATAGATGCCTTACATTATGCCCTAAACAGAAATAGCAATGGGCGCGGCATATAGCAAGATGCAACGATTAAAAGTGGGACTTTAAAGAACAACTATATGGAAAGGACCAAGGGGAAGAAGGAGAAGCGAACGGAGAAAGAAAGCCAAGGAGGCTTTTACCTGTAAAGGGGTTCTGATCAATGGTACTGAAGGAAGTAAGGATATTAGGGCAACAAGAAAAAAATGTATTTAACAAATTTAAGCTGTACATTTGTAAAGATTGGAAATAAACGAGCTTTATTATTATTATAGTATAGTATATAATAGAAGAAATGGTTCATACTCTTAAGACTTTTAAGTCTGATTGACGCTTTAGATTTGGTTATAAGCTTAAATAATTTGAGCTAGAAATGATAATATAACTTGTTATAGTTTATTATGAATATCAATGTGTAATGAGTTCAGTCTCTTCAATACGAGTTATATAAACTCTCGTATGTACCAAGTTAATATTATGATTAAGTAATTATGTATATAAAATCCTCTTCAGACGGTCCTTTCAGAAATTATTTGATGAAATATTTCAAACTTTAGAAACATAGGTTGTATACTTTAATTACATTAGTATATTAATATCACATATTTAATTTATTTTAATTATTTTATGTTTTGAATGTAAATTTCTAATTTTGATAATATCAAAACATATTTTAGACATATTATGTCTAAGAATACCATACAAGGCAAAGTAAAAGGCAGGCTCCAACAAAATTGGTTTGAGCCTGCCTGCCTGCCTGAATCTTAGACAATGGTTTAGTCAAAGCACCATTGCTTAGAAGCGCGGCATCCAAAGTTAAAGCAGCCATGATGATCGCCAACCTTCGAAAGGAGCTGGCACTATTTAAAGAAGTCTATGAAAATATGAACAATAAATGTCGTAATCTGTTTTATAGAAAAGTTTCTTTAGAAATTTCCATTGTAAATTGTATAATTAACAATGTAACATTATTATTACGTTTTTGAAAGAAAATTCGCGATTTATGAGAGATGACGGCTGCAATAATTATCTTAAAACATTGTATTTTAATTGTTTTACTTTGAATTTGGTAAATGTAAAAAAATATGCCATAAGTAAGGCAGTGAAAACATGTCGTTGTTATTCAAATTATAACCAAACTATCACACCTGAGTAAGAACGAACCAATAAAATTCAAGAAAAAATTCATAAAAAATAATTTAAAAAAATTTCAAATTAAATTTAAATAGTTTAATACTTTTTACATTGCCGAAACTTTCAACTTTTAATACGTATTTTTCAGATAATTGAAATAACATAAGATGGTTGTTTTTTAAAAGCTTTTCTAGGTCAGTCACAAAGACGTGATATTTCAAAGTATATGTGCCATTCTTTCTCGTAGATTGCAATATCTTCTGATACCCTCTTTGAAATTGAACATCAGTAAGAATGATATTAAATCGAAGTTTATATCATTTGGTATTTTTGTTTACTAGTAGTACATGATCCTTTGTAATCCTTCATATATTTGCAACACTTACAGGGATAAATGAAATCAAAATATATTTAGTTATACTGGTAAATATAATATACTACAATACTTTCCATATATTTACTAAGTTAGTTTTATTCTATCTAGACATTGATAATAAAAGAAAACATAAAATGTTTCGAGATAAAAAAAGTAAAAATGGCGACAATTTATTTATTAGGGAGCGTTACGTCACGCAATTTTTGGAGATTATTGACGTGTTACGCGCCGTAACGTTTTTCTGTACCCAATAGTATAACGTTTCGTGACCACCCAGTGACTCTTTATAGCTAAAAGTTACCATAATGTGCTGTAAAGTACTGGAAAGTCGAAAATAATATTAACAATAACGCGTAATTCAATCCCCGCCCCGCATCGTAACGTTTTACAAAAGGAACCCCCCCTACCAAAATTTGTTACGTAATACTTGAACGCTCTCAAACGCAAATCAGAATTGAACATTTTGTTTTCATAGCAATAAATAATACATAGTACTATAGCTACGTCGTAATACAAGATATTGGGGCGATAGGTAAAATATATAGTTTTATCCCTCTTTTCAAGAATCACGATGAAATAAGAATGTAAATGCACTGTTGCCGTTTTATAAACAAAACAAATGCAAAATATAACGCGAACTACCGCGTTCACCTACATCTTATTTTTGTTTATATTTCGCCAAAGACAATAGATCTGCACATAAATTGTAGATTACGCATGTATGCACAAAATTTGACTCAGGGTCTTCTTATTTAAAAATATATTTCTAAAGTGTCTAAGTGTCTTGTCTTCCGTTTATAAAATATTGCATTCTCATAACTGTCAGTTTTATTTTTTTCAACTTTCATAAACTTTTCCTTACACAAAACTTACGTTACCCACGGGAGAGAGAAAACGGAACTTTTAACAAAAATATTTTATAAAGATTCATAACATTTAATTATATTAAAATGGGCAATTTGTTAGTCGTTTATTATGTTTGGAGAGTGTTGATCAGTTGCCAGCCTTTAATGTTTGGTTTGGGACAGTTATGTAGATATCTAGGTCAATGCCTTGTCAGTAGTTTTTCGGTAAATCTGATTTTTCACCGTTTATAGAACTATGAACTTAAGTTTTCTGAATAGCCTGTTCAAATCACATCTACCAACTACACTTTCAGGACGAACACTCAAAAAATTACTAGATTGAAGGTTTTGATACCTGAAGAAGTTTATCTAGATGTTTGAAAGTCCATAATCACCCAATCAAATCTATAAAAATCCTATTGGGCAAGTGAGATATGCTATATTATAAACTAGCGACCAGCCCCGGCTTCGCACGAGTGCAATGCTGATACTAAATACACTACAGAAAAACTGTGAACGTTGTATATAGAAACAAAGCGGCCCGCTCCGGTTTCGCACGGGTATCAAATATATGTCACTCACAGAAAAAATGATTAAAATCGATCCAGTAGTTTTGATTTCATTACTCATTATTCATTACATTTTATTTGGATATTTGATAAATCTCGTAAGGTTCAGCCTGCGTTTGCAATGTAAGCGGAAAAAATTTAATTATTTACGACATCACATTAGAAACCTTAAAAATAACAGTATTTCTCCGCTATT